GTTCTGCACCACTGACAAGGGAAACCGAATCTGTTATCACCTATAGGAACTTCTCGCCAACACTGCGAGCAAACCCGAGACCTCCTGGCTACCGGTAACGAAATGAAATGGGGTTTAACGTCCTACTGTTCTGCTCCTATACTGGGCTAATGAATTCCAACTGCCAAGGGATCTTTTACATGCATTCCAATGTATACACGGGACCTCGGTTTTCCATCTCATCCGAAAGACTAGACAGCTGTCCTTGTCAGGCCCTCAGTCCTGCATCACTGACAAGGGGAAACCACGCCGTAAAATCGGGATAAACTTTCTCGGCCAATGCAGGGATCGAACCCTGGCTAACGAGCCGGCGTCTAACTCACTGAACCCCTGCTGCACACTGTTTTGGAATGGAATTTTAGATTATAAGATTTGTCATTGAGTCAAGTGGCGTGGTTTCGATTCCCCGGTTGTACGTAACAAGGAATAGGGTCACCTGTCCAACCTTGTGGGTTATCTCCTATTTCCTCCCACCGCTAAAGCCCCTGATGTGTAATCAAATTATTGAAGTAAAATTGAACCATATGTTAGTCCTGAAATCACCTAGTTTGTGTAAAGTGGACGTTAAACCCCCTCTCTCTCTCTCCATATGGGATTGGCCAAAAGTAAAAATTTCCACACTGTGTAAGTGCCTATATAATAAGCATGTTTATCTAGCTACTTGTCAAAGTTACTGTGATAAGTGATCGTCGCAATTATCAAGTCAACCATTCTTTAAATGAGATAAATTACCCGTTACGCAATTCTCTCAATCTTGTCCAAATTGTTCAATATTTTCATTGTAATTTCAAACAAGTTGTATTTATTTCGTCGCATTTGGCATTTGATTTAAATACCTAAAACCAATTTTGTTTACAATGTCCTGTGAAATCTAAGGATGCTCGTTTAATTAGAAAGATATAACTATGCAAAGGGTATGCATACCTTAGCTTCTGTTTTTGTGGGATGATGATGATGTCTGTATGTGGGGTGGCATTGACTGTAGGATGGTGTTGTCTCTGAGTGGAATGGTGTTGTCTCAGAGTGGGATGGTGTTTTCTCTGTGTGGGATGGTGTTATCTTTGTGTAGAATGGTTTTGTCTGTGAGTGGGATGGTGTTGTCTCTGGGTGGGATGGTGTTGTCTCTGTGTGGGATGGTGTTGTCTCAGAGTGGGATGGTGTTGTCTCTATGTGAGATGATGATTAAAACACAGATCCTATGTCTTCAATACACTAGAATCGGGAAGAGTTGTCATTCACAGCTACATGTATAGAAAACAAATCAAAATAAAAATTTGTATTAATGAGTACCCACTTGAAACACTGACACTGATTGGTTAATCAAATGACTGACATGATAAGAGTCAAAAGCCAATTGTGTGACCCCAGATGTGACATCCCACTACAAGCGGTCAGATCTTAATGTAGTGAAGTCCATCAAAAGTATTAAAAAAACAAAACAAAAAATATAGATCTGTATTTTATTAATCAGATTGTTGATAAATATTCAAGATACATTATGGGATATTCGATAACAAGTTGGCAGTTCTCACTATAATAGTTAAAAACTAGATAATGTAAAGGCAATTTGCATAAAATTTCATTCAAATTGATCCACTATGAACCGAGAACTAAGCGATTGAAATTTCCGCCTAGCCTAGATCATCATTACTTAAGTCATTACAATAAACAGCATAGTCTTGATTATCCATTTAATCATTAAATCGTGAAGGAAAGTTATGCAGTAAATCGAGTCATAATCCACTAAAAATCGCATGCTAGGGATGCCATCGAGAGTTGATTATGATCTGGATAGGTTAATTAATGTCTAATTAATATATTTAGACAACGTTTCAGGCCGAAAGAAAGACTTGCAATAGACAGATTTAGCTCTTGCATAATTAATAAGAAACCATCTGCATGGATTCTTATTAATTTCATATATATTGTCCACAAGTTTACTAAATTGTCATTTTTGCTTGATAACGATAAGAGGATACTTGTCGAAACGTCGTGCTTTTAGAATAAACTAGTGATTGTATCCCATAAAAACTGTGTTCTGTTAATTTGTTCCCCGATCGCTAAATGCAACTTAAAGAATATCTTTGATCCAGAAACACAAAACTTTGCAGTTGCACATAGTTTTTTATTGATGTATTTGATACATTAAAACAACAAAAGTTTTATAAAGGGCTATATTTTAGTTAAAATAAGGTGAACAATTTTGAGTAAATTCTTAACTTAAGTCTGAGAATGGTGTGAACTCATGACCTGTTGTCTGTGTCCAAGTACATGTACATACAGCTACATATTACCTATCTTTGTAATAGAATAACTAAGACAATTTAACATCACTGACAAATAATTCTGTAGTGCTGGCTATATTGATTATTTACTCCCAAGCTCATCAATTACATGTATTTTTTTTGTGCCTGTTGATTGAGGCCATTCACAAGAAATGTGTGGTTATGCATATTGATGCTCATTATCTTGAGGAAGAAACCATCATCTCCGACTTAATAAAGTCTGGCCACTCATTTTGAGGACAATTAATCCCCCAATCGACAACTAAATTGGACATAAAGCTGTCAAGATCTTTTTGTCGGCGATATCACCTCGGTGGAGGAAGACGTTAAAATAAAGCTATTTCACACACATTGTTTCTGCTATTGTCTTCCAAGTCACCATACTGGTCCTGTTAGACAGGGCAGCTCCCAAGACAATCCGGGCGGTTGGGATGGCCTAGTGGTCTAGAGTGCCACACTTTGACATCTAGCTGGCTTGCGTTTGTGGTTTCGATCCCTGGTGTGGGCCTATGTGGCTTGGAGATAGGGGTGCCTTTTCAACCTTGTGGGTTTACTCTGGTCTAGAGTGCCGCGCTTCGACCTCTAGCTGGCCGGTCACCTCTGGCTTGCATTTGTGGTTTCGATCCCTGGTGTGGGCGTATGTGGCTTGGAGATAGGGGCGCCTTTTCAACCTCATGGGTTTACTCGGGGTACACCAATTACCTCCCACAGGAAAAGACTCCTGTGCGTGCGCCAAGATAATAAAAATGAAAATAAGACAACTTGTCTGCGAGATCACCTTTGGTGGAAGCGGACTTTAAGCACTAAGAACAACAACAGACAATCCAAAATATCCGAGTTAGTACTACAGCCCTTTGCAACACCAAATAGATTTGAATGTCAATACGGTATAAAACTAGAACAGTTAGCTATGTGAAACCGCCACAGGATATCAATATCATCTCCATCACAGATGTGATAAGTGGTATCAGATTTTCGAGAAAATGTAAACATACCCTGCCTTATGCACAACCAGTATCTGTGATGGCAAAAACACTAGGGTTTATCAAGAATCTCAAGAACATTTGAAATTGGGTTGTGTATTGTCTTTGCCCTGGTCAGTCAGCCACAATTGCTTGTGAAAAGTCTACAGATTGCATTTATCATCCAATATTTTTAAAATGTATATGAACCATATGTTAGTCTCGAAATGACCTAGTTTGTGTCGAATGGACGTTAAACCCCATTTCTCTCTCTCTCTCTTCCTTTTATGTGGGCGTATATGTCTAATCAGTATGTTTCACTGTCTGGCATCCTATCTTTCAGTATGTTAAGTTACCAAAGTTAGGATTTGGATGATAGGTACATTGTCTGAGTAGCATGAGTCATATTTATGATCCCGTCTTCATTAGCCCAGTCGGAGCAGAATAGTAGGACGTTTAACCCATTTCATATATTTATGAAGTCAGACAGTTTTCCACACTGCCATTTTAAGAAGTAAACTGTTTTACATCGGTGTCACATAGACAATTATCAGAAGAACATAGCGCATAAAATATTCAGTAGACATACCGTTGTGACAATGTTTTCCAATTACCCAGCTGACAGCTACATAGCGTGTTATGTTAGCATTTTAGAGGTTTTACTTGATATAAGATTACTGACCAAGACTATGAAGATATTTATGTTTTGAGTTCAGACTATTAAAACATCTCAAATAGGTTGACAGACTTTAGAATTATTACAAAAGGTATATGTCATAGGAAAATTCTATAAGATTGTCTTGGTGGGGACTTGTTGGGACTGGGACTGGGGAGGGAGTCGTGTTAATGGGCATTTAGAGGTTCAACTTTATATTATATAAGACTATGAAGATATGTATATTTTGAGTTCAGACTATTAAAACATCTCAAACGAGTTGAGAAACTTTCAAATTTTTACAAAAGGTATATATAGCGTGGGGAAATTCTATAAGATTGTCTTGTTGTTTTTGGTGGTGGGGACTTGTTGGGAGTGAGGAGGGAGTCATAGTAATGGGCATTATCCCTAATGCTTTTATTTAATTCCATATTTAAGTCAGGATTTTTATTTGTATCAAATGAATGGAGATTGAATAGCGGCTGTTGTACGGCCTTATTTAATAAATGGTGCTAACTTTACTTCATTCATCTTGTTATTCTTTTGTACACACCAAAATAATTACAATGTTTTTATAAACCCACATCTGTAAACCAAGTGTCCATCAACAATTTCTCGTCAGATTTTTATCAAGATGTATATACTGAATAATTACTGACCATATTGGTACCCGTTGGCTCTAATCCAATGTTCTAACGACACAGAGGTGTGGGGCAGGGGGGTGACCGTGTGTGCGTTAAATCAGAAAGTCTGTCATTGAGTCAAGTGGCATAGTTTCGATTCTCGGGTCTTTAGCCTGTTCTCAACCTTGAGAGCTTTCTGGTTTCCTCCAACTGCTAAAGACCCCTAAGCACAAGCAAATTATTGAAATAAAATTGAACCATATGTTAGTCCCATAATGACACCCATCGATCTCTCTCTCTCTCTCTCTAACAATACAACCATCACTCCCCCTACATTGTAAAAAGAAATTATTTATTGATCAATGTTTTATCATTTGACAACTATTATATATCGTCATCAATATATCATCTTATTTTTCTTGATTTAATATTTCAGATTTATTTACATCTACGTTACTACACATGTCCTAATGAACAAAGATGGATTGTTCGAGTATTGTTCATTGTACCTATTTATTCCTTCGACTCATTTCTCAGTCTCATGTTTTTCAACAATGACAATTTTTATGTGTATTTTGACAGTGTTAGAGACTGTTATGAAGGTAAGCCAACTTCTATTAGTTCTAGTTAAAGGACAATATTGGTGTCAGTCATTATTACAGCCAGTTGTTTTTTGAATTGTCAGATGTCTCATATAAAAACTTTTCATCTTCAACGGAATTATCAGTGAAATGAAATTCGATCGTGTATCTGTTATCGTTCGTTACTTCAGTCATTTATATAGAAGGATAAGTCGTGTTTTGTCATTTTTGACGTCACTTCCCGTTTCTTCAGCTGTTTGTCACACATCTACCGTAGCAATGATCTCTGTGTTAAAAATTATATTTGAAATGTGTTTAACCAGTTCTATCACATATGTAATAATGACTGACACCTATATTGTCCTTTAACTTTTATATTTGATATTTATTTTGTATTGAGATCAGAAAATTTATTATTGAGAAGAACTAAGAACACTTATTAATGATCAAATGATAAACACCATTTCATTCATTCACTCATTCATTCATTCATTCATTCATTCATTTGTTCGATATAACAAGTGTGGTTATTTACATTGTATATTTTTTTTAGCCTTTCTGATATATAGTTTTCTAAGTCTGTTCTACTTATCTTATTCTAGTTAATTTTTATATTTGATATTTATTTTGTATTGAGATCAGAAAATCTATTAATGAGAAGAACTAAGAACTTATTATAATCCATCAAATGATAAACTCTATTTCATTCATTCGTTCCATATAACATGTGTGATTATTTAAATTGTATATTTTTCAGCCTTTGTGATATACAGTTTTCTAAGTCTGTGCTATGAATATCTGGGAGGTGAAGGTTCAATTATGGCAGAAATACGAGGAAAGCCAATCAAGTAAGTTAACTGATCCAGCCAATTAATTGTTACTTTCTTCAGACAAGGTTTTATAGTCAACCCAAAAAAAAAACCCACATTCTTCGCTGTTCACATTGATTAACTTCAGACTGTTTTCTCTATTCATCTTATCTACGAGATTGAAAAATATGTCAAGCTAAAAGGCAAAGCTTATAAAAAGGTAATACCATTGGCTCTGTGATAATTTGAATCAATAAGATTCCTTAGGATATTACGAATGTTCGACAACTAGAGCTTAAAGGTATTAAATAAGACTTCTGTGTCATATACATGCACTATTAGTAGAATGTCAATTTTCTAACAATCTTGAATGATACAGATAATTAGTTTCCTGTTAATATTGAGGGATTATGTTACACAGAAAAAAACCCTATTATCCTTGGGATTCTGAGATCAAAATAAAGGATTGTGAAGAAATATAAATAAAGAGATCTCTTTTTTTCAACAAAATACAACATCACACCGATGAACCATAATTTGTTCATATTTCTGCTATTCTTTAACTATGGGTATTTTTTTTTAGTCTGTAAATGTAATTTAGTCAAGGGCACACAGGGCTGAAAATAACGGTTTTAGATGTACCTGACAAAATGTCAGGCATTCATAAAATAGTACCTAATATTTTCAACTTGGTGCCGGGCATGTATTAATAATATCAATAAAAAGACAAATCAGTGCTTGACATAATGACAGGCACCAGAGATTTTGTGCCTAAATCTGTGCCTGACATTGTCTGTGATAGGTACCATATTTCCCGGCTTGAGGTTGTTAATAGGACAACCTTCAGTCTATATGTGAATGACAAGTTTTGCTTTATGAATGCAGTTATTTAAAAATCGTGTGCGTGCTCTAGAGGCTAAAGTTATTATCCGATTGTTTTGAAACTTATACACAGTGTTTACATGTATGTTCAAACAGCTAAAGTTATCATTGATTATCAGTGCATGCATCAGTGCATGCATTGTGTAATAAATGTTCGCACTAGGAAATGGGGTTGGATGGCCGAATGGTTAGAACGTGCGCGCTGTATCATAAGGCCTGTCATTGAGTCAACTGGTTGTACGTGAAAAGGAGTAGGGTTGTCTGTCCAACCTCGTGGGCTTTCTCCGGGTCCTCCAGTTTCCTCCCACTGCTAAAGACCCCTACGTGTAAAGCGAATTATTGAAATAAAATTAAACCATATGTTAGTCCTGAAATGACCTAGTTTGTGTTGAGTGGGCGTAAAAACCCATCTCTCTCTCTCTCTCTCACTCTCTTGGAAAAACTCTTTAGAATTGTAATATTGTATTTTATTTGTAGATCTAGTTGGTTTTGGTGTACATGTTGTCTATCGGGACGACAATATACAATTGGTTTCCTACGTTTCTGTAAACAGGTTTGTAACAACTTATTTATATTATATCTTAAGTTAGACATTACAATCTGGTCACCCATTTCACATCAAGCTTTAAGTGTCATTTAGTGATTGATAAATACATTAACTAGTAACTATTTTTTGTTTGAATTAATTAGCAGAATAAAAAATATGCAGGAAATAAAGGAATCCCAATCACCAAGTCCGCGCATTATCCCTATTTTTTGGGTGTTTGTCATTTGCCGTTTTAGTAGAATTACAGACACCGGACATTTAGCGATTGAGAAACATATTAATTAATAACTATTTTTTGCTTGGATTAATTATCTAAATTAATTACATGGGATGGTCTTTTTTATCCGTAATTATCAATCAACCAAAACCATTAATCTATGACTATTGACACTCCAGGATAAAATATGATTATGAAAAAAAAAATGTCACCTTTTTTCCTGGGTTGGTTGGCAAAAAACACTCAGTTTTAACCACCTGGTAAAAATATGGTAAAAATCAGTAAAACCAGGAAGTTATGACTAACTTTTTGTTGTTAAAACACAATTTGATAAAAATAAGATTGCAAGCTAATTGATATATTCACATTTTCCTTCTATGATAACGTACACTGCAATATATATAATAATATAAATACTTACAAAACGTGAAACATTATTCCAACTCCTTGTAGTACTAGAATATAGTGGTCTAAAGTGGATTTGAAAGAGATATAATTCTTAAGTGTATCGCTCAGAGTTTTGATTAGTTTTTACCAGGTTCTAACCATTTCTAACTAAAACAAGTTTTGACCGTCCAGGAAGAATTACCAGGACATAAAAAAAGAAAATATTGTCAGGATTATCACCACTTTCTATTTTATTTCACAAATTGATAAATTGGCTTTGGGCAGTGGCAGGAGGGGATCTAATGGTGTAACATGGGCAAGTTAGATCATAAGATCAAGTGACCTGGTTTTGATTCCTCCCTGCTTGTCTGTGGGTTTTACTCTGAATACTCCAGTTTCTCCCACAGCTAAAGACCCCTACGGTCTATCGATTTATTTTATTGAAATAAAGTTGAACTTTATCTTAGTCTCGAAATGACCTGGTTTGTGTTGGGTAGATGTTAAACCCCATTTCTCTCTCTCTCTCTCTCTCTCTCTCTGGCAGCAAGAGCCCTGAGCAGTTGCATTTGACTGAAAATATTGTAAAATATAACCTTAACCTTATTTCCATATAGCATTAATATATCTGATCCTATATTTGAGCATTGATTAAATGTGATTTTGAACCGCTTGTTTGTTTTTTTCAGGCCACATTACAGTTTTGTATCATCAAGCCTGTTATGGCCATCTTAACTCTCATCCTACAAGCCTTTGGTTATTATAAAGATGGAAACTTCTCGTAAGGATTTTTGTTTATTATGCTTTCTTATTGACAATGATTTACTATTGGTCTTTTGGCAATCTGAGTAAAACAACAGATCTATATTTCGTTTTGTTTTTTTATACCTTCGATGGCTTCTACTACATGAAGATCTGACAAGTCGTAGCTTTAGGTCACGTTAGAGGTCATACAAGCGGCTTTTGACCCTATGACATCAGAATTTGATTAACCAATTGATGTTTCTAATGGATTACCCACAGTTCTGTGCAAAACACGCCTTAATCTCGCTGTAACAGACCGTTTCATTGGGTAATCCCTAACACCATCCAGAACACGTCAAGAATAACAACTCTTCTAGATCCTAGTGTAGTGAAGACAAGTAAAACGAAATTTTGAACTATAAAAAACGAAACGAAATAGGATATGTGTTTTAATCAGATTGGTGTTATGGAGTAGTATATAGAGGATATTTGTCATTTTAGAGTGAATAACATATTTTATTTCATCGAGAAGCAAGAAAACGTTTATATTTTCACTCATGCTACGCATTCGTGAAAATATAAGTTTTCTTGCTTCTCGATGAAATAAAATATGTTATTCACGACAAAACGGCAAATGTTCTATTTATTTTATGATTTTACAATCATTTTAGGTAAAAACAACTAGCCAGTTGAATAACACTTTTATTTCACTGATAAAACGCGGTATTCCACTACTGATCATAAAATAATATAAATTATAGCACAATAATTACTTCAAAGTATAATATTTATGAACATTATTATAATAATATGTGGCTAAAAGATTGAAATTTAGATTATTTTTTTTTAAAACATTAATAAAAATTCTGATCTTTTATAAGATGGCTGAATGGTTAGCATGTGGGCGCTGTATCATAAGGTCTGTCATTGAGGCAACTGGTGTGGTTTTGATTCCCCGGTTGTATGTGACAAGGTGTAGGCCTAGTTTTCATGTTAGTTAAAACCAAAACAGAACCAATAATTTCATTGGGTAATTTCGATAAAACAGCAGGACATAGATTTTATGTTTTAATCATTTTATGAATATTTTATATATTACAGAATTGCTCGAGCGTATTTATACATCACTCTAATCTACAATTTCTCTATAAGTTTGGCTCTGTACGGGCTTCTTCTCTTCTATTTTGCCACTAGAGAATTGTTGAGTGCATATGAACCGGTTCTTAAATTCTGTATCATCAAATCCACCATTTTCCTGTCATTTTGGCAAGGTAAGAAATAAAAATCTTTCAAAATGCACGTAAAAGATCCCTTGGCAGTTGGAATTCGATATAAGAGTAGGCGATAGTGCCGCTGCCCGGGCAAAATTTCCCTCATAGCACACTGTATGGCGTATGTCCGTCTTCATTAGCCCAGTACAGGAGCAGAACAGTAGGACGTTAAACCCCATTTCATTTCATTTCAAAATATATTTCCATGATAATGTCCATTTTGAAGTTTGTCGCTGTCATTTTGGCAAAGTAAGAAATGAAAGATACGCATGTTTCAAAATATATTTCCAAGATAATGTTCAACTTTGAAGTTTGTCGAAAAATAGCCATTTTAAAGATGCAATGTGGAACAAGTTTAATAAACATTTTCCTTATTTAAATTTAACAAAGAAAAGGCTGAAAAGTGTTTTTAGATGATTATAACAAAAAAAAAACGTAGATAGGTAACTTCTTGGATTCAGTGTTTTTAGATAGATAACTTCTTGGATTCAGTGTTTTTAGATTTCTTGGATTCAGTGTTTTTAGATAGATAACTTCTTGGAATCCGTTTTCTTAGATAACTTCATGGATTCAGTTTTCGTAGATAACTTCTTGGATTCATTGATCTTAGAAAGATAACTTGTTGGATTCTTTGTTCTTGGATATAAAATTAATTTGAGCTTCAGCTCGTTAAGCCTATTTTTGTCTTTGCTAATGGCTTAAAAGTCTATATTTGCTGTTTTATTTTGGAATATTGGGCCTTTATATAGAAAACATGATGTAGAGCATGTTGACTAATTTGATATGATATTGTTTATTATATTTTCTAAGTGTTGTAGGGCATGATGACTAATTTGATATGATATTATTATATTTTCTAGGTGTTGTATTGGCTATACTGGAGAAAACGGAAGTAATAAGTCCTATATTTTCTCAAGGTAACCACATGGAAGTAGGAGTAGGTACAGTATCTGCTGGATGGCAAAACTTCTTTATCTGTATAGAGATGTTTATTGCTGCCATTGCTCTTAGATTTGCTTTCCCCCATAGTGTTTACAGCTCGGGTCCTACCAGTACTCATGGACGTACTGTCTCCCTTCAAAGCATATCGAGCAGTTTGAAGGAAACGATGAACCCAAGGGACATAATGCAGGACGCAATTCATAACTTTCATCCTCAGTACCAGCAGTACACTCAATATCAACATGGCTCGAAACCAACTCGTGAAGAAGAACATATAGATAGCATGTGGCCCACAGAACCATATCAATATCAGAATCAGATCACCCCAAACGGTAACACACCTCAACCACAGAGTCATGGACATGGTCATGGTCAACCACAACCTCGTATACAAGGTCCTCCTGGTCCTCCAGGTACCACACCAAATAAACATCGCTTTAATGAAAAGACCACACTTCTTAGTTCTGATGATGAATTCCAATGAAGATCAAAGACTGAGGAAGAGAGAGATTATTTCAGGGAATAGGCCGACAGTTTAGTACTTGAGAAATTTTTACATTGTTATTAAAGCTTGAAACTATCGACCTTTGTCCAAAATATCAAAACGTTACTAACTTTTTTTTTTTAAATAAATGATAGTAATTGCTTGATTTAGCAGTAAAAGTTCAAAAAGGAATTAATCTCATAAAAAAATAATATAGTATATAGTCAGGTTGTTGATATGCTTCTCAATTTAGAGACAATAGAACTATGCTTGATTTTGGTAATATTGTTACTTCTGGAAATTGCTCTGAGACTATATTCTCAAACAAACTGAAAAAGTAGAATCTCTTTCCCAGATTTTCAATATCTTTAGAGTTACGATCTTTCCACCATATATACAATCATAAATAGTTATTTTTACTTTTGACGATCTTTCCACTACATATATACACAATCATAAATAGTTATTTTTAGTTGGTCCCGTGTACATATTGGCCTGCTCGTAAAAGATCCCTTGACAGAATTTGATATAAGAGTAGGCCGTAGTGCCGCTGTCCGGGCAAAATTTCACTCATAGCACACTGTATGGCGTATGCCCGTCTTCATTAGCCCAGTTCGGAGCAGAACAGTAGGGTGTTAAACCCCATTTCCATTCATTTATTTTTAGTTGAAAGATTGTCATTAATTTATAACATAGGTCCAACTTGTTTCTGGTGTGCTAATCAGATTTGCTTGTTTCATTTTCATCAACTCATATTTTGCTCATTCTATGAAATCTGCTCTGCTCTCGTGAAGTTCCCATCTTCATTAGCCATGGTTGATGCAGAAAAGCAGGACATTACGCCCCATTTAGGCTTGTTCAACATGCATATTATTATTGAATTTCTTAATGTGGCTTGAAAGAATATAGTTACCTCTATAATGATTTGTGCTATTTTTGCTTGTTGCTTGCAGTCTCACATGTAGCATACAGGCAACATTCAAACTAATCGGCACACCTGAATCAAGTTAGACCACTGCTGTTCTTAATGCATATGTTATTTGTATGGCTGGCAACATTCAAACTAATCGGCACACCAGAATCAAGTTGGACCATTGTCTGTAGAAAATGTGTTTATTATTTGAATGTATGGCAACATTCAAACTAATCGGCACACCAGAATCAAGTTGGACCATTGTCTGTAGATAATGTGTTTATTAGTTATATATAAATATGAAACAGACACGCCTATAATGGTTGCTCGTATCAAACAGCTGTCTCATTGCTTTATTACTACACAAAACTTGATGGCAAATAAATAAAATATACAAAATATATATAAAATCTTATTTTTATTCATTATAAACAAATCATATATATATATATACATATAATTTATTTTATGAACTGTGTCCTATTTTGTGAATGTGATCAATATTTTGAGTAGCTTTTAATCTTAGTATGGTGTATGTCCTAGCTTAAAGTTACAATTTCATATTTTCTAAGAAAGTCAAAACATAATTATGTCTTATGTCCTCTGCTCAATAGGTTGTCAACTCACTATTATACGATCGTAGGTGTCATTCTCACACTTAAAACTCATTTACACCGGAAATAATAACACAATTACCTCCGAATTACCTCCCTTGTTTTCTATTCTCCACCATGGAGTAGCTATCCTCAAACGTTTGATTTTGAAGAGGAAAATGATATTTTTGCCAATTTCTCAACTGGCAATAGTGAATTATAGGATTGATAGGATTATTCTTTAACAAAGTAGGACTGTTTATAGATACCATCTATTTTAAGGCTTTATTTTAATAAATTTTAAAAATATAACGTAAAAATATGAAATTGCAACTTTAATAGATATATTATTAAATGTAAGTATTGTATGCATGCTCTTTAAGGAATATATATTAATCAGATCTTTTGTCCTTTTCCGCAGAAAGTATGTGTATCTTTATATCTTAAATCAATCTTTGAAATGTTTTTAAGGATTATTCGTCTTTATATTCCCCTGGAATACGCTTCCAGAAAATATCCGACTATGTGAATCTGTCAGTTTTTAAATCCAAAGACTGAAAACTTGGTTATTTAGTCACTATCATTAACATTTTCTAGCGCCTAGTGTATTCCCTAGTGGATTGAATAGTTGTGCGATACTTTTTTTTATTATTATTATTATTATAAATTACATCGATAGCAATATACTGTATAATGTGTCACAAATTAAAATTAAGAAAGTTCCTTTTATGACTTTCATAAAAATATTTTTAGAATAACTTCTGTGTTATTTAAAGGATGAGTCCTAGTCCGAAAAAGCGGTTTGTTTACGCATGCAAATCAAGAGGCCAATTTTTGAAGAAATGGCTTCTTTGTCTGAAAGAGATTCAGCGCAAAATAACGATCGAGAAAAGACTTTACTTGCGGGTCACTTAACTTTTATAGTGCTCACATCCAAGTTTTTAGTGAAGGAGTGACTTGATAAATGTGACTATTAAAAGAGTTTCAGCGTAAAATACCGATCGAAGAAACACTTAACCTGGGTCACTTACCTTTTATAGTGCTCACATCAATTTTTTAGTGAGGGAGTAACTTGATAAATGTGATTATTAAAAGAGTTTCAGCATAAAATACTGATTGAAAAAACTTAACCTGGGTCACTTACCTTTTATAGTGCTCATGTCCAATTTTTTAGTGAGGTTGTGACTTGATAAATGTGACTATTAAAAGAAAAATGAACGTATTACATAAAGCTGTTACGGCATGCATGCGTCATAGACCGTTTTATTTCTGTACAAAAACCCCAAAAAAGAGTGAAAAAATCTCAATTAGAATTCTATCACAATTTGTAACATGTACTTTGAATTTATTTCTCAATATTAATTGCATTTAGATGATATTGACATTTAATTTAACTATGGTACTTTGAATTTATTTCTCAATATTAATTGCATTTAGATGATATTGACATTTAATTTAACTATGGTATAACTGAAATATAAAATCATGTAAGTAATATCTACAAGTATAAATAATATTAGCTTATGTTATTATATATATAGCATGTCAGTTTTGTATTAGTGTTCCATGTATCCTTATATAAAATACATACTAATTAAGCATCAATACAGAAAAATTAGATAGTATTGAAAATGGGTGGAATTCACTCATGTCACAGTTTTGTCAGTCCCGACAGCCGAGGTGGTGTGAGTAGAATCGTGACGTATTTTAAGTTACAAATATGTTTCAGCTGTCATGATTGGTTGAGATATTCTTTATGCAGTCTGCACATGCGTTGTATTCCCAAATTCTCCTTTTCACTCGATTGACACTTATTTTGGGAATTGAGAGAATTTAATTCCGGAAAGCTCAATTGTGAATATCCACATAGTAAATTGGAATCAACTTCTGACCCAGGTTCAGCACTGTGTTTGCTTTGTAACCTTGTGGGTGCTCTATCATCTTTCCAGAAAGTTTGAATTGACAGCATTGAATGACTGCAGAACTATTATTAACAAGATGAACAAATCGATCAAGAAAAAAATATTTGATTTACAATTTCACAACCACACCAAGTTTGGCAGTTATAAGAAATAAAATTGTACACAGAGTATTTTATTAGGATGATAAATTCATCAAATTGACAGGTTTTCTCTTTGAACTCTATCTCACCTTTCTCCAGGTACATTTAGATTTATAGATATATATATCTTAGAGTGTTTGATGTTTTTATGAAATAAGAACATATTACCTTTTTTGTAGTGCTACATATCACACCATTAGTTTATATATACCCGTATTACTACTTAATAATTATTATATATTGTTTTGTAATAAATAGTTTAATTGTATATAGTTGTTTATGAATATTGAATATATATATATCATCCTCTCTTATATATATATATATATCTCCATGTATAAGTATTTCCAAATATTCATATCACCACCCACTTGTCATTTTTATAAATATATATTTAGATGCTTAGACAAACTTGAGCTTTTTTATTCAGTATCTGCTCATATTATATCCTTTTGTTGTTTATATTACATGCATGTACAAACACAACCATACCTTCAGGCATTGATGTATATCTTTAAATCTTCACTCAAAATTAAATATTAGGTCTGGTTTTAAATAATATTCAGAAGAATTTGATTTGGGGAGGGAGTTTCATTTGTATATTTTTAAATCTGCACACTTAATTAGATATTCAATCTTGTTATTGGCTGTGTTTAAACATACAGGCCTGAAATGTTTTCTAAACTATTAATTAGACATTTATTAACATGACAAGACCATAATCAACTCTTGATGTCATCAGATATCTCTGATATTAAGTAGATTAGAACAGGTCAGCCATATTTTGATTTAATCTAAAAATGGTGAAGCGAGGCTAATCTTTGAACAACCAGTGCGGTGGTTGCAATTAATGCACACATCTTGTCAAACCTTCAAAAGCTGATATCTTCGCTCCCAATGGAGCAATTTGAATGAAATCTTCAATAAATCCATTTTTCATTATCTATTTTTGAACTATATAGTGTAGAATGGTCAGCTCTTTATCTAAATCTTACATAATGTATCTTTAATACAAAGGAAAGTTTGGAAATTATTTTCATAAACATTTAATAATTATTAAATGTGTTTAAATATAACTGCGTGTCACATTTTTGGATATTTGCATGCCGGTAGTTGTAAATTTGTCTGGAAATTATTTCTATAACATTTAATAATTATTAAAATTGTTTAAAATTAACTGTGTGTCACATTTGGATATTTGCATACCAGTAGTTGTAAATTTGTTTGGAAATTATTTCCATAACATTTAATAATTATTAAAATTGTTTAAAAATAACTGTGTGTCACATTTGGATATTTGCCTACTGGTACTGGGTAGTTGTAAATTTGTTCAAATTATCTGAAATATAGTTTGTGAAATGTAACTGCTGTTTGACAAATATGTATTATTGGATAAATCATATTTTATCGAATATAAATCAGTATAGTTATAATCTCATAATTGGTATCTGTTTAATATATTTTAAGGTTTGTATTTGATAATCAAAATTTTATTGCAGACAAATCCTCTTTTCTTATTTTAATTGTGTTTTTATGGCAGCAGATGAGACTAATATTCCAGTGTGTAATTATTAATTATGTGTTATTAACAAACAATTGTTGATTTTAAAACTATTATTTGTGAATTTGATATGTTCGACTCCTGCTTTTTATGATAAAAAAAAAAAGGCTAATTAAGCTATGGAGTTAAAAAGTAAGAAATGCTTTTCGCACTTGGGAACACGTACATATATCATATTGTCACAGTTTTAATGATCTCAATCCTTTGCATCTAGACTACTCGAAGCGAATACAGTGATGTTATTTCATACATTAGAAGAACATCTGGCCCCTGGTTCATAAAGCATTCTCAGTCTTTAAGTTAAGAATTTTCTCAAACTTGTTTGCCTTATTTTAAGCCCCTTGTAAAACGTTGGTTGTTTTAATGTATCAAATGCATTAATAAGAAACTATGTGCAAAGTTTTGTGTTTCTGGATCAAAGATATTTCTCATAAACAGTGATTGAAGTTGAGTAAATTCTTAACATTTTTGGCAGATAAAATATTCCAGTTGGCGGAAAAAAATATGAACATTTTTTTAAAATAAAAATTATCATCAATTTTGGCGGAAAAAAATTGAAAGCCAGTGTGGGCCCTGGACCAGATTATCTTCTTTTGTCACATGATGGTAAGCATATCATTGTAAGAAGTCATTTATAGGGGTATTAAACACAGTCATAAATCGTGTCATGTCGCCAAACATTGTAAATGGATGGTGATGTTGATGTCGGCAATCAGGCTATTTCCTTGAACACTCTTTTATCTCACATGCTAACCAAAACAAAACTTTTTTTTTTTAACAAATTATTTGCTTTAATGTCATATTGTAATCTGTATTCCTGAGGTATTCATTAGAAATTCTCAATTCTTTGGAATTTTCCAATTTTCTTTTTTAAAAATATTGAAATTAGGTTTCATCTTTTTTAATGTGAAATCTCTTACTTAATGTTCTATGTATTATTGTTATTAATATGAAAGAGTTTAAGAAATATACAATATATGTTGTACAAAGTGTAAATTCTATTATTAAGCTTTGTAAATGTGCCGTTTTGTCAGTGCTGTTTTATGATCAGTTTGTGAATACATGTATGTATTGAAATAAAAGTTGTTGATGTTTCCCATATAAGGAGTTGCTTTAACTTTAGTCTCTATCGTCCAGGAAAATATTCTTTGAATATTTGTCTGGATGCGTTGTCTACATTTGACATGGTTTTGACTCCCCGAGTAGGGTCTCTTGTCCAACCTTGTGGGGTTTCTCTGGGTCCTCAGGTTTCCTCCTACTACTAAAGACCCTTACGCATAAGTGAATTATTGAAACAAAATTGAACCATATGTTAATCCCAAAATGGCCTAGTTTGTGTTGAGTGGATGTCAAACCACATTTTTCTCTCTCTCACATCTTGTCAACACAATACTTTTGGGACTAACATTATTTATATTTGTGTTCTTCTGCCATGTTGTTAAGGAGAGCTGATGAAGACGGGCATACGCCATACAGTGTGCTAGGAGGAAAAGTTTTCCCAGGCAGCGGCACTATGGCCTACTCTTCTATTGAATTCCAACTGCCAAGGGATCTTTTACGTGAAAGCCAATGTATACACAGAATCTCGTTTTTTTGTACCATCCAAATGACTAAACAGCTGACATTGGGAAACCACGTCGGAAACTAACAATGAACTTTGTGGGCTAATGCAGGAGTCGAACACACGAGAGCCAGAGTCTTACCCACCATGGCTCCAAGCCATGACAGAGGTTCATTCTAATCGAGTTCAGTGTCCTTACCACTCGACTACAAATTCATGTAAATATAAGATCAAATTGGCCATCAGGACCTGGTTATCATCGACTAGTTCCGGTCGTATTGGACTCGCAATGTGGGCTTTAATTTATACTATTCCTGCATTACCAGGGACACAAATTAGCGGGGTACTGGGGTTGGCCTCTTGGTGGGGTCTGGGTTGTTTTTTTGACCTGCTAAAAGCATCCAACTCTCTCAGAAATGATCTTCCGAGAGACACAACAGAATCAACCCAGTTTAAGAGCAGTTTTATTTCTTCGACATCGGCAGGACTAAAAATATCAATTATTCATTTATCCTGTTGTTTTCTTGTTAAATATTGACCTGGTTATGAATCATAGCTCCTGAATCGCGATACACATTCATGAAAACTTAAAACTAAAATATCTTAATAATTCTGCCCTTTCATTGGCCAAGAGCTCAAATTTGTTCTAGGATGTTATTTCTCAACCAATGAAATGACTGCATCTTTAAAATATTGTAGTTCGAAGTTTTCGTGAATGAGGCCCTAGATTAGTAAACTGTCCAACATCGTGGGTTTTCTCCGGGTCCTCCGGTTTCCTCCCACTGCTAAAGACCCCTACGCGCAAGCGAATTATTGAAATAAAGTTAAACCATATGTTAGTCCCAAAATGACCTAGTTTGTGTCGAGTGGACGTTAAACCCCATTTCTCTCTCTCTCTCATTATAGCAAGAACTAAATCTGCCGATAGCGCAGGTCTTTCTTAAGGCCTGAAATGTTATCTAAATTATTAATTAGACATTTATTAATTTATTCAGACCATAATCAACTCTTGGTGGCATCTTATGTGTCAGATTTTCATTGAATTTGAATCCAATCTGCTATTCAACATTCACTGATGATTAAATCCAAAAATGGATAAGCAAGACTATGAGGCCTAACATTCAATCGCTAATATCTCAGTTCAGAGTGAAGCAATTTGACTGAAATTTTAAGCATATACCCATTGCATTATCTAGTTTTAACTATTATAGTAAGAACTGCCAGCTCTTTATCTAATCTCCTATAATGTATCTTTAATTAATTTATACATTGATTTCTTTTGACAATGTTGGTAGAAAGTTATACTGCTACCTGAAGTACAATAAGCCATGCATAGTGATCAGTGATGGGATTTCGCCCGTATATTCCGGACATGTCCGACGCTATTTTCCAAACATCCTAAATTGTCCGACCAGGAAACCGACATAGTATCTTCGAATAGTAATTGTATTCCATAGAATTGTGACCTGTATCTAGATTACAGGTATTGAAAATGAAATGCAATGGGGTTTAACGTCCTACTGTATGCTCCTACTAGGTCATTTCGGGACTAACATATGGGTCTTAGCAGTGGGAGGAAAACCGGAGGACCCAGAGAAAACCCGTGAGGTTGGACAGGCGAACCTACTCTTTGTTACGTACAACCGGGGATTCAAAACCACGCCAGTTGACTCAATGACAGGCCTTATGATACAGCGAGCACGTGCTAACCATTCGGCCATCCCCCCCCCCCCCTCTCCATGGACCAATGAAGATGGGCACAGGTATTGAACACAAAATACTGACTATCTCCACACCTAAAATTTTAAATGTAAACATATAACCACTTTGTGAAACAAATCAAACCGAATTAAATTGATATATATATTTATTTGTTAAATGAATCCTTTAAAGACAACCCACAAAGTAGATTTATAAAATATAAAACATGAAATTAAGCATATAAATTGTAAAAAATAACAATTCCTTAAAGAAACAATAATTTTATCATATAATTTCATTTACACATAAACAGGACTTTGTTTGGGCCCAAGCATTAAAGGGAAATAACAAGTCTGGGTCCTGTTTCACGAAATTTTAACTAAGATAAAATCCAAATTTTAGTAATTTGATTGGATAATATTAGACGGGTTGTAGTGCTTAGCCAATCAAAATTGAAGTATCTACTAAAATTTGGATTTTATCTTTAGTTAAAATTTCGTGAAACAGGACCCTCATGAGAGAGAGAGACAGACAGAGAGAAAGGGGCTTTAACATCCACGCCACACAAATTAGGTCATTTCGGGACTAACATATGGTTCAATTTTATTTCAATTCACTTGCACGTAGTGTTCTTTAGCAGTGGGAGAAAACCCACGAGGTTGAACAGGCGACCGTACTCCTTGTCACGTACAACTGGGGAATCAAAACCACGCCAGTTGAATCAATGATAGGCCTTTATGATACAGCGCACACGTGCTAACCATTCGGCCATCCAACCCCCCAGTTTTTTAAAGGGTAAACTGATACTATGTTATCACTATGCATGGCGACCCTACTCCTTGTCACGTACAAGCGGGGAATCAAAATCGCGCCAGTTGACTTAATGATACAACGCGCATGCGCTTACCATTCGACCATCCAACCCGCCCACTTTCCCATGAACTCATTATGAAAATTTGATAAAAATATGTTACAAACTTTGACCTGTAGTGTGTTCGCCACAAGAAATGAAAATATATATCCACCTAATATCTAAAGCAAAGTCAAACACAAGTCTTGAAGAAAAGACTAGACGCTTTTAATGACATAAAGATTGAATGTAACTAAAATTCATGTTCAAACAACCATTTTTAACAAGTTATAATATATTTGTCATGTTCAGTTTAAAATATATAGATCTTAAGATAATAATAATAATAATAATACTATATACATATATACATTATTTTACAATTTCTGGGCCCTGTTTCTCGAAATCTTAACTAAAGATAAAATCAAAATTTTAGTGGATACTTCAATTTTGATTGGCTAAGCACTAAAATCAATCTAATATTATCCAATCAAATTACTAAAATTTGGATTTTATCTTAGTTAATATTTCGTGAAACAGGGCCCAGAAATCTAAATACATTCATCACATACATTTCTTGCATTGTTACGTTTATTTAATTCAATCTGATTAAAACACAGATCCTATTTCGTTTCGTTTTTACAGTTCAAAATTTCATTTTACTTGTCTTTACTACACTAGGATCTGGAAGAGTTTGTTATATAACCTGCGTTCTGGTTGAAGTGAGGGATTAGCCAATAAAACGGTCTGTTATGGCGAGTTCTTGGCGTGCAATGCATGGAACTGTGGGTAAACCACTAGAAACATTAACACTGATTGATTAACTGACGTTATAGGGTCAAAAGCCCCTTGTACGACTCCTGCGAGACATTCCACTACAACGGATCAGATCCTCATGTAGTGTAGACCATCGAAAGTATAAAAAAACGAAACGAAATATAGATGTGTATTTTAATCAGATTGTATTCATTCCTAATATATTTATTAGATATAAATCTTAAACTATCATGTCAATACTTCCTGGCACTATGAACTACATCCAGGAATTTTTGTTGACTCTCAATATGACAGGTAGCTCTAAGGATCTGGACCCAAGTTCACAAAGCATTATCAGACTTAAGTAAAGAATTTACTCAAAATTGTTCACCGATTTTAACTAAACTATAGCCCTTTTTAATACTTTTGTTGTTTTAATGTATCAAATACATCAATAAGAAACTATGTGCAAAGTTTTGTGTTTCTGGATCAAAGATATTTCTCATAAATAGTGACAGAAAGTTGAGTAAATTCTTAATTTAGGTCTGATAATGTTTTATGAACTTGGGGCCGAAGCTTTTGGCCTATGTGAACATTTTAGTCATGGCGTCATAATTTACTATTTGAATGAAATACACACTAGGAACCGGGTATCATTCAGATTTGATGAAAAAAGGAAAGAAACTGAGCCTACCATCTAGAATCTAATACACGTATCCAATAGATTGCATCCAGAAAATATTAAATGCCATCAAGATTCATCAAAAAAGCGCCTAGTTTCTGCTACCATGTAGTTTAAGAAACACTGTTTAGTTTTGATATTGGTCGTCTGGTTTATGACCATTTAGTTTCATAAACTAGACGACCGATGTCAAAACTAAACAGTGTTTCTTAAACTACACGTAGCACAAACTGGACATTTTTTGATGAATCTTGACAATGGCATTTAACACTTTCTGGATGTCAATCTATTAACTGGATACGACGATTAGATTCTAGATTGTCTGCGATATCACCTCGGTGGAAGCGGACGTAAAATACAACTAACCCATAGATTCTAGATGGTAGGCTCAGTTTCTTTCCTTTTTTCATCAAATCTGAATGATACCCGGTCCCTAGTGAAATACAAATGTTAACTGGTACATTTATATGTTTAATCTATCAATAAATATGTCACAGTTTTACATATTGTATAAATGATTTAAGTAGAGCTTAAATAGAGTACAAATATGAGACACAATTAAACATTGAAATCAACTTCAAATTTTAAGCAGTGGACACATTACCCGAATCAATCGGCGCCAAATTTTATACGGCCGAATGGGTAAACACACTAGTCGAATGCTTCGCCCGATTCACCAGTCGATTGCATCACCTTTCACCTCACATGATTAAACATGGCGGCGTCTATGTCTTCAAACAATCACCTGACTTCTCGGTATGAGTGGATGATGAGTGGTGATTGGCTAATGAATTCTACATTCGGCCGAATGCTTCGGCTAAGCAGACACACCAGACGAATATAATTCAGTCGAATATATCAAACCTGTTTGATTCGGGTGAATCATTTGGCCGAATGACAGTGGACACACTAGGCGAATTTCGACGCCGATTGATTCGGACGAATCATTCAGGTGTGTGTCTACCGCTTTAGAAATTTAATTAATGCATAGACTATCATTACTATGCATAGATTAAAATTGAGAGAGAGAGAGAGAGAGAGATGTATAATGTAGGGCAGTTAGGAAACCACAATGGAAAATGACGACGTACATTCTCGACCAAAACCAGGATCGAACCCCTGACCTCCTGGTGACTTAGTGAGCCAACATGGCTTCCGAATGGTTATAACACCTAACCACTCAGAATCATTCCCATATATTAATAATAATTTCTGTCTCTTGAGAGCTAAATTCATCAATGAGCATGCTTAAACATGCATTATACAAGAGCTAAATCTGCCTACTGCAGGTCTTTCTTTAGACCTGAAATGTTATCTAAATTATTTATTAGACATTTATAAACATGACAAGACCATAATCAACTCTTGATGCCATCGGATGTCTCTGATTTTAAGTAGATTAGAACAGTTTGGCCGTTTTATGATTTAATTTATGGAGAGCGAAGCTAAGTCTTGAATGACCAGTACACATCTTGTTATAACTATAATTATTGATAACTATAGTAATAAAGTAATTTGAAGTAAATTTTCAATATATTCATTTTACATTATCTATTTTTGAAATATTATAGCCAGAACGGCCAGCTCTATATCTTACATAATTCCCCTTTTAAGAACAGACAGATTTACAGTCATGTAATTTGTTTTAATTCTACGATATGTACACAAAAATAAAAAAGTTTCCTTATTAAAAGGTTTTCCTTATTCAAAAGTTAATACATCGTCTTTTTATATACATACTTGGTTTTAGAAAAATATAATAACACATTTAATATCTACTTGATAGTGTGGCACATTTTATATACATACTTGGTTTTAGCAAAATATAATTACACATTAATACCTTCTTTACAGTGTGGCACATTGCTAGCTAGATACATTTGGAATATTTATTTAATACAATTCAAATAAAAAAGAGTATTAGAATAATCTTCCTTAAACATACATTATGAAAGAGCTAAATCTGTCTATTGCAGGTCTTTCTTTAGGACTTAAATGTTTTATAAATTATTAATTAGACATTAATTAACTTATCCAGACCATAATCAACTCTTGATGTCATCGTTAGCCTGCAATATTTACTGGATTATGATCTGATTTGCTGCTCAACTTTCATTCATGATTAAATCATGAAATGGATAATTGAGACTATGTTTTTTATCGTACAGACTTTAATAATGATGATCGAGGCTAAGCCGAAAATTCAATTGCTAAATTCTCAGTTTATAGTGGGTCAATTTGACTGGAATTTTCAGCAAATTCCTTTTACATTATCTAGTTTTTAACTATTATAGTGAGAACTGCTAGCTCTTTATCTAATCTCCCATAATGTATCTTTAAGATAAAACTAAAATATTAAATTTATAGATTATTTATTAGTGTCTTTTGGTGGACTAGCGGAGTATTCATCAGACCAGCGACTTCTTCCTTCTTCTGTCTTTCTCTACCTACAGAAAAACAGGGTAAAGTGTATATCAATATGAATTGACATATTATTCACATTTATGAAGGGAGAGAGAGAGAGAGAGAGAGAGAGAGAGAGAAAGAGAGAGAGAGAGAGAGAGGGTGTGTGTGCTAAAGTCCACTCAACACAAATTAGGTCATTTCGGGACTAACATATGGTTCAATTTTATTTCAATAATTGGCCTGAGCGTAGGGTTCTTTAGCAGTGGGAGGAAACCGGAGGACCCAGAGAAAACCCACGAGGTTGGACAAGCGACCCTACTCCTTGTCATGTACAACCAAGGAATCAAAACCACGCCAGTTGACTCAATGACAAATCTTGATCCAGCATGCACTTGCTAATCATTCGGCCATCCAACCCCCCGAATTCCTATAAACATTATACAAAATCTTATAAATTGTTAAAATAGTAGTCCTACTTACCAAACTATTCAAACTTTATTTACATTATCAAGTTAAATTGTCTGATAGCCACTTTTAACTGCCCATGAGTTCTGCCATTCTATGATATTGAAACATATACATCCAGCTGTTCCGGATATGACTAATATTAATAGTTGCCATTCTAGTAGTAAAACATTGCTGTAGGCAAAACCAATGGCAGCAGCAATTGACTAAAAATATAAAAAAAAAACCTAGGTCACATAAAAGAAATTTTCTGGTTCTCAGTTACCGCCACATCACTTGTGTTAATTTCAAATAATTAAAAATAAAAATGTCCTCGGTGATTTCCATTCATTCATTTTCCTGTCAGAAACAAGTAACTCCATTGAACATTTCCTGTTGAAACCAGATCAGGGCCTAAAATAACGTGTCTTGGAGCACGAACGTGCTTTGAAATTATGTTATGAAATTTTTTCTGGAATTTTGTGTGGCTCACAATTGGTTTTATTTTGTATAAGACTGAAAAAACTGCTATTGTTTTAGTAAAAGATTTTGTTAAATATATTCATTACCTGAACGAATTTAAATAAAGCAAATGCTGGTGAACTGTCTTCAGGAAACATATAACCCAACATTGAATACAGCTGAAAAATGATAATATAAGTTCTTTTTATATATATCAATCTATAAAACTATCTGCATGTCACTTAAAAAACTTAGTCTCAGTCAATCCCTTGCAAACTAATATTACAATAACCAGGGTATCATTTAATCTTGTGTATTTAGCACTAATTTCTTTCACATTCATTCAATATCAAACCGTTGTTTAAAAATTTGTAAAAATAATTTAAAAATTTAAAATCACCCCAAATTATCTAATTTGTACTTGAGTCCAGTTAAAATTTTGACTGATTAATTCTGAAAATGAGTAGCCTGCTCTTATATCGAATTCCGACTACCAGGGAATCTTTTACGAGCACGCCAATGTATACAGGGGACCTCAGTTTTTTTTTCGTCTCATGCGAAAGACTACATCTGTCCATGCACCAAGGACAAGGGGAAACCATGTTGGAAAATCCTGATGAATTTTCTTGGCCAATGCAGGAATCAGACACGTGACCTCCAGGCTAGCAAGCCAGCGTCTTACCTACTTAGCCACCATCGCTCCCCCTAAATATATAACACTGAATTCTTATCAAATAACATCGTTTTTGATTTTTTAGGGTCATTTTGAATAACAGCTATATTCCTTTGGCCGTTGGGGATCATGTGGCTAAGTGGGTAAGGCACTGGCTCACTAGCCTGGAGGTCGGGTGTTCGATCCCTGCATTGGCCGAGAAAGTTCATCCAGATTTCCGGTGTGGTTCTCCCTTGTTAGTGATGCAGGACGGAGGGGCTGACAAGGAAAGCTGTCTAGTCGTTCGTATGGGACGAAAAACCCGAGGTCCCGTGTACACATTAGCGTGCACGTTAAAGATCCCTTGGCAGTTGGAATTCGATATAAGAGTAGGCCCGTAGTGCCGCTGTCCGGGCAAAATTTCCCTCATAGCACACTGTATGGTGTATGCCCGTCTTCATTAGCCCAGTTCGGAACAAAACAGTAGGATGTTAAACCCCATTTCATTTCATTTCCTTTGGCCGTTTCATCTATATCCTTTTTAAACAAGCCATCGTCATTCTTAAGTTTCGCTGAACCTACTTGATTGGCTTCTTTTTAGCACGGGAATTATCTAGGCTGATATTTTGAATTTGTTTTCTTAATTAAATGTTAAATAATTAATTTGAATATATTTTAGCATGAATTAAGCTGTATAAAATTTGATATTTTCTGAAAAATGAATATGACAAATAAACATACCTGGGTATTGAAACAGCTATCACCAAATCCCAAGAAGAAACTACATAACAAGGCTACAACTTTACTATTAGAAAACAATAATCAAATAAATTAGTGTAGTATAGACAAGTAAAACAAAATTTTCAACTATAAAAATTTACTGAAATAGGATCTGTGTTTTAATCAGATTGAAACCCCTTGGGCACCATGTTAAATTAATAACGTTCAAAAACCTTACTACATTATGGAATCAATGACAAATGACAAATCAAAACTTGGGCGGCCTCAACCCTTTTTTTGCTTAGTAAAACAAAACATCAACAAAAACTTGGTCTTACTTGGACATTACATAAGTAAAATCGTTTGTTTCTACACTTGGTGCATTCTGTGGTATGTTGATGAATATCAAATAAAAGGCTGTCATGTGAACTAAATAACCCATTAATACAATAGGATCTCTTCCATGTTTATTGGTTCTTTTTCCAAACAGGCCAAACATGGCACCACCTGAAAATATAGAAATTATCACAAAGTTTTAAACTATTTTGCAATCTGATTATTCAGAACACGATAACGATAACAACTCTTCCAGATCCTAGTGTAGTAAAGACAACAAAATTTTGAACTATAAAAACGAAACAAAATAGGATCTGTGTTTTAATCACCTTGACCCTTTTGCTACTGAGTTAATTTCAAAGAGAGAGAGAGAGAGAGAGAGAAATAGGGTTTAACATCCATTCGACACAAACTAGGTCATTTTGGGACTAACATATGGTTCAATTTTATTTCGATAATTCACTTGCGCGTAGGGGTCATTAGCGGTGGGAGGAAAGCAGAGGACCCAGAGAAATCCCACGAGGTTGGATAGGTGCCCCTACTTCTTGTAATGTACAACCGGGGAATCGAAACCACGCCAGTTGACTCAATGACAGACCTTATGATACAGTGCACACACCAGTTGACTCAATGACAGACCTTATGATACAGTGCACACGCCAATTGACTCAATGACAGACCTTATGATACAGCACGCACAATCTAAACAACGAATAGACAGCTGTCCTTAACAGCACCTCCTTCCTGCCCCACTGACAAGGGGAAACCACGCGGGAAAATCCTGATGAACTTTCTCGGCTAGCACCAGGATCGAACCCGGACCTCCAGACTAGCGAGCCAGCAGCATACTCACTTAGCCATTGTGACTCCCCTGTTGAAGTAGAACATTAAACCCCATTTCATTTCATGAAATCAAATCTTACCTAGAATTTCTCCTACACCTATTAATATCCCAGACAGTCCTAGGAGACCATTTCTGTCTGCCCCAAAATGTTGATCATGTGAAATACTAGCTCCATATACACCACTAAAAAATGTTAACTCTAAACCTTTAAAAACAATAGGACAATATTAAATTTATGTAGACATATCTTGGCACATTTGAAACCTCACACATGTGAGAAAAAAACTTCTGTTGCTAGGGACGGGAGAGAGAGAAAGAGAGAGAGAGATATGGTTCAATTTTATTTCAATAATTCGCTTGTGCGTAGGGGTCTTTAGCAGTGGGAGGAAACCGGAGGACCCGGAGAAAACCCAAGACGTTGGACAGGCGACCCTACTCCCCATATTAATAAACCTACCTGTATAGGCAAATGCAGCACTAAGAAACAACATTTCTCTTGTTTTTAACAGTTGAAAGGAACGTTCTAAAAAAAAAAATCATAAATTTGAAAGCAATCTATAAAGAACACTAAACTGTAGAGTGTTCATAAAGAATTTTTTTTTAATGGAGAGACAAGTGATAACATAGCCCAGATGATCCAGTGTTTAATTTGGTCATTTGATTTTGTGACACCATTCAAAACCTAGACGGACAGCCTCGTTTTACTTTTGATACTGAACTGTTTGATTTCCACGTGTGTCAAGCTAAGTATTACAAATCAAAATTAATTCTTGGATGAATTCTCCATTTTCGTAGCGTTAAATGATTCGTAATTAAGTACTGACAGTGAGTTGGCATCCATACTGATAGATTATCTATACCATCTAAATGGAGAGAGAGAGAGAGAAATGGGGTTTAACGTTCACTCAACACAAACTAGGTCATTTCGGGACTAACATAAGGTTCCATTTTATTTCAATAATTCGCTTGCATGTAGGGATCTTTAGCAGTGGGACAGGCGACCCTATTCCTTGTCACAAACAACCGGGGAATTAAAACCATGCCAGTTGATTCAATGACAGACGTTATGATACAGCATGGACAGGCTAACCATTCGGCCATGTGTATTGTGTCTTGTCCATAAATTTGTTTTGTGTAATCGTATAATTGTTGTGTGTGGTGCAGTCACCCTGCACTTACTATTAGGTACATTATTGTAAAATCTTATCATCTTGCTCCATCACCTTAAACAGGTAACGTCATTTTGTCAAAGAAGTATATTGGGGCTTAGGTGGCAGATTTATACATCCGCTTAGGTATAGTTATATTACAACTTATTACTTTAGGAATAAAAAATATTATTGTAAAATCTTACTAAGAGCTTGAAGAGGTGAGTCGGATGGTTCTGTTGTACCGCTGTAAATGTACATTAATATAAAATTATTTTGTATTTTGTACACGGTGAACAGTCCATTTGCTGAATACACTATACAAATGTTGCAGTCTGGCTCCAGTGACATTTGTAGGCAATCTTGGTTCCCAGATATAAGTTTACCCCTCGTTTATCAGTTTTCTCCTCGTTAATCTCTGGGACAACTCACAGGCCATTAACCAGTCTTAAATCGGTTCCTAAGCTCCGCCTCCAGTGGCTCCTGACTGGCTGGATTTGTTTGAATGAAATGCTGCCGATTTCTCGACAATTAGGCATCGATTTGATGCATGCGTTACATATTAATGAACCTTGGAACGTTTTCCACATCTTAACATCACAAGTTCATTCGAAAACAGCCGATTTGATGATTTACTGCGAACTATTTTTAGTGCGCAAGTTTGAGCCACCATCTTGGATCATTGTGAAACATCCTACAGAAGGATATATCATGTGACATTCAAAATGGCTGACATATGGCTGGCGAGTTTTCCCAGAGATAAACAAAGGGTAAACTTATCTCTGGGAGCTGAGACTGAATTGGGGGCTGAACTTCACATTTAAATGGTATTCTGTTGATTATTTTTTAAATAAAAATAATTTGTTTCATTAGAAAATAAATCACAAAATATGGGCACCAACCTTGAATTAAGATTAACCAGATTTTCACTGTCAGTGTTCCTTTTTTTTCTAAGTAGAAGTAATGATAAAATTCCTGCCAGAGCAGCAGAACTCAGACCAATAAATAAATCAGTTCTATCTGTAGATGAAATGTGGGATTTTCCCTTAAATACAAAATAACTGTACATATTTCCAAACAGTAAACTGAAAATATAAAGAAATATGGCAATATTATATCAAATAAAATGAAAATATTAGGAATGATATAAGATAAGAAAAGATAAGATATTTATTGCATTTACGACAGCATGCATACAAGTAAATGTGCATTTAAACAGAGAGAGAGAGAGAGAGAGAGAGAGAGAGAGAGAGAGAGAGAGAGAGGTTTAAGTCCACTGATACAAACTAGGTCATTTCGGGACTAACATAATTTTTATTTCAATAATTCGCTTGCATGTAGGGGTCTTTAACAGTGGGAGGAAACCAGAAGACTTGGAGAAAACCCACGAGGTTGATGTTTTCACAAAGACCAAATCCTGTTTAAGTCACCAGTTCATCAAATATCCTCCACACCACAACTTGAGTCCTCAGCTCTTGCATGACGAGAGTTGTCATAATTCGCAAGTCGCATGTCGATAAATATTTCAAGTTGTGTCGGATTTTGGTATATTTAATACAAATGTATACCATCAAGAATAGCATCTTCATTATATTTTCACCTGCATTGAAGAAGTGCCCAAAAAATTCCACTATTTCTTGAAACTGTTTCTGAATCTGAGTTGATTGTTAAAAAGTTTCCCTGTCCCGTCCACAGAACTGTAAAATAAAATTACATATCGTAGTTATCTATGTGAAGCAATCATAAATTTGCACCAGCAACAAAGTAAAAAAAGAGACTTATTTCTTTTCGCCATTTATTCCATTTTTTAAATTTTTTTTTGCCTAATTAATCTCATACTGAACAAAGTATAAACTGAGTCAACAATAATTAAAATACAGATGTGACGTTATCCTTTGATGTTGGCATACCATTATTTCAAATAATGGTATAGGCAATGTGCCAAGCCTATATTATTTATACTAGTTGAAATTTTGAAGTGAAGTCATCCTTTGATGTTGGCGTACCATTATTTTAAATAATGGTATGAGCAAAGTGTACATTATTTATACTAGTTGAAATTTTGGAACCGTGTGACCTATTTCATTGTAAAGCACGAGCGAGTGTTGTATGTGTTGTTTCAATATATTACTTAATGTCTCGCTATCGATCATTAAACCACACTTAAAATACAAATGCGACGTCATCCTTTGATGTTGGCGTACCATTATTTCAAATAATGGCAAGGGCAATGCGCCTAGTGTACATTATTTAGTTGAAATATTGGACTCTCGTGACGTATTTCATTGAAATGCACGAGCTGGATAGTGTCTGTATTCAAGAGCGGACAATTTTGATTTGGAGGTTATGAAAGGGGTCAAATTTTGGATAATTTAATTGCTTTACAATACACATAAGATCACAAATTATTAGGTATATTTTAACGGTTGAAGGTTACTGCATTATGGCACTGCAAATTTGTGGCACTGCAATTTTGGCAGAAAGGGATCAGTGTGGCAGATCTCATGGGCAGCAGGAGGGAAAATAATATTCTACCACGAATGTAAAGAAAGTATTATATATAACATAATTACTTACTAGCAGCTCCGAAACCCACTAAAACTGATCCTAAATATAACGACCATTCCATCGGTTTTAAAAATGATAAAATAAATAAACTGAAACGAAGTAATAAAAACAATTATTAGACTATTAATGGATGTAATTTGATAGATAGATCAATCTGATTAAAATACAGATCAATACGTGATCAATACTGGTCAATACGTGATGTCAAAATATGTGTCAAAGTACCGAAATGAAATGAAATGGGGTTTAACGTCTTACTGTTCTGCTCCTAACCTGAGCTAATGAAGACGAGCATACGCCATACAGTGTGCTATGAGGGAAATTTTGCCCGGGCAGCGGCACTATGGGCTACTCTTAGATCGAATTCCAACTGCCAAGAGATCTTTTACGTGCACGCCAATGTCTACACGGGACCTCGGTTTTTCGTACCATCCGAACGACTAGACAGCTGTCCTTGTCAGGCCCTCCGTCCTGCATCACTGACAAGGGGAAACCACGCCGGAAAATCTGGATGAACTTTCTCGGCCAATGCAGGGATCGAACAATCGACCTCCAGGCTAGTGAGCCAGCGTCTTACCCACTTAGCCACGTGTCAAAGTACCAGTAAGATGGAGAAATGAAATGCCAAGAATGAATGATTGGAGTTTGTGCTATAATACAAATAATTTAGACCTGTGTCACAAAGTCATGCTGTATAAAAATTGATCAAATGTGAATAAATGTTAATGAAATTTGTTAACGTAACCGATATTTCAATTTGCGTAACCAGGAAATCGGTCACGTGTTTTTGAGCTGTCGCGACTGCATGTAACCGATTTGTATCATTCGCGTGAAATTTCGTGGCCTGGATCTATATTTCGTTTTATTTTTTTATACTTTCGATGGCCTACACTACATGAAAATCTGACCGGTTGTAGTGGAAGGTCGTGTCTGGTCATACGAGTGACATTTGACCCTATGACGTTGGATATTTGATTAACAAATCAGCGTTGATGTTTCTAGTAGGGTACCCACAGTTCCGTGCATCGCACACCAAGAACTCGCTGCAGCAGACCGTTTCATTGGCTAATCCCTCACATCATCCAGAATGCGGGTTATATAACAATCTTCTAGATCCTAGTGTTGTGAAGACAGACAAGTAAAACAAAATTCTGAACTATAAAAAAACAAAACAAAATTGGATCTGTGTTTTAATCAGATTGAAACACTTCGGGCGCCGTGTTGAATTACACAGTATTACCATATTTTTCGGTGTATTAGGCGCATGCGTAGATAAGGCGCAGGCGAGTTTGGCAGAGGTGGTTCAGGAAAATAATAAAAGTGCATGGTATAGGCACACCCTTCTCCAGCACCTTGTGAAACATGTGCCATATACCATACGTGACTCAAATACATCTGCGATCTCCAGTAACTGGGCCAAACTCTACTGTTTACAGTTATAATAATTACCGATATTTAGCCGTATCAAGCTTTATGTATATTTCTTTATGAAATAAAAAACTCCATATACATTTGTCTTCAATTGCATAAGACTTTATATTAATTATAACTTTTAACTGCATTATTGCATAACGTTAAACTGTATTTTCTTCAGGTTGGATATACCATACCATGTCTATGTATCTATACTGATTGGTTCTCACTTTAATTATAATTTAATAGAAGGAAAATATTTTTAAACTTACAAGTACATAATACCACCAATTATCATAGATATCTTTGGTCCAGCAAAATTGACAACAGATGGTGCTGCCCAATTAGATGCTGAGAACACAGCATAGATAATACACAGACTGTAATAAAAGAAGATTTTTGTTAAAAGAGACATTTTCAACTCATTTAAAAAGTTATCAATCTACTAATTTCTTTGGTGGTGTAGATAAAATATTCTTTGGCAGTTGGAATTCAGAAAAGAGTTCATGGAAACGGTGCTATCTGGGCAAACTTTCCCCCCGACATTGCACACGTAAACTATATAAATAACAAATTAGCATATGTTACTTTCAAAATGACCTAAGTAAAGTTTGGACTAAATGTTAAGCATCATTTCTTTCTAGAACCACTTGTCATTTAGATGAGAATAGCAAAAATACAGCATACATGGGGTCAAAATTTTGATAACATAAAACTCTACTAAACTTTCAATTAAAATGGACTTCTGTGATTCACTTGAGGGTACAAAAATGGAGATTGAGATGGAGTTTAGCATCCACTCAACACAAACTAGGTCATTTCGGGACTAACATATGCTTCAATTTTATTTCAATAATTCGCTTGCGCGTAGGGGTCTTTAGCAGTGGGAGGGAACCGGAGGACCAGGAGAAAACCCACGAGGTTGGACATGCGACCCTACTCCTTGTCACATACAACTGGGGAATCAACACCACACCAGTTGACTCAATGACAGACCTTATGATACAACGTGCACATGCTAATCATTCGGCCATCCAACCCTGAGGGTACAAAAAGAATAGCAACATCTTTTCATTAATAAAATAAAACTGCCTGATTTGTTAAATGTGTTCTTCTTTCTATGAACTAGTGTACTGTAACTTTGTAAAATTTATACCTGGATAATGTTGCCTTCGCTTAGTTACGCTAGGTTTCCATTATCATGATTCGCACTACGAGTGAAATTGTGGTTTTAATTGTGGGGTTATCGTGGTGATCCTATCGGGTCATATCATATAAGTGTTGATTGTATCGAAACGTATCTGAACATATCTGCACGTACAAGATTTTGGACTCATTATGAACAATAATATCGTAACACATCGCATAGCAGTGGGAACCTAGTATTATTAAAACACTGTTTATGAAAATCATAAAATCATTCTAAAATCAAGAAAAAGAGAGAGAGAAATGGGGTTTAATGTCCACTTGACACATACTAGGTCATTTCGAGACTAACACATGGTTCAATTTTATTTCAATAATTCACTTGCACGTAGGGGTCTTTAGCAGTGGGAGGCAACCGGAGGACACAGAGAAAAGCCATGAAGGTGGACAGCCGATCCTACTCCTTGTCACGTACAACTGGGGAATCGAAACCACGCCAGTTAATTCAATGACAGATCTTATGATACAGCTCGCACGTGCTAACCCCACGTTGGCACAGTGAGTAATACATTGCCTTGCTAACTTGGGGTCATGTGTTCGATCTTGCTGTTGGTCGAAAAAGTTCATCAGGATTTTTCGGCGTGGTTCCCCCTGATGCAGGATGGAGGACCTTTCCAGGGACAACATATAAATAATCATTCAGATGAAATAGAAAAATACAAAGTCATGTGTATACATTGGCGTGCACGTAAATGAACCATTGACAGTTGGAATTCAAACTAAGAGCTGGCCGTAGTGCCGCTGTCATAACACACTGTATGGCGTATGACTGTCTTCATTAGCCAAGTTGGTACAGAACAGTAGGATGTTAAACCCTATTTCATTTTGTATTTACATATTATTGATGAAGACAAGCATATAAAGATTGAATATTTCAAGTCTAATTCTGGTGATCAATATAAAAACATACCTAGTGTAGCCATCTCCAGGATTAGTGCCATTACCATCTGCTTTAACACTGTCCAGTACCGTTTTCTATTTAAAACAAACAAGCCAACAGTGAGGCTGATGTCCCCCGCCGAAATAGGAAAATAATTAGAGAGTTATTGTGTTCCAAAGTCTCAGCAAATCAAATTGCTTATCGCTCTGCTTAATCTGAGCAGAAAATGCTCATTATCGATCTTAGTCAAGGTATTACTGTAATGAAACTATACACCAAGTTTCATCACTCTCACTTAATTAGAACTAAAGTTATAGTGTCCCAAAGCATCAACCAATCAAATTGTTTATCTCTGCTTACCCTAAGCGGAACGGACAGACAAACAGACAGACGGACGAACCCATTTTAATAGTTCCCTGCTTTCTTCGAAAGGCGGGGGACAATAAGCATGAACATTTACTCAATTCGAAGATCAACCAATCAAATTGTTTATCTCTGCTTACCATAAGCGGAACGGACAGACAGACAAACAGACAGACGGACGAACACATTTTAATAGTTCCCTGCTTTCTTCGAAAGGCGGGGGACAATCAAAGTAGGAGAGTTATTGTTTTCCAAAGTCTCGACCAATCAAATTGCGTATCGCTCTGCTTACCCTGAGCAGAAAATGCTCATTATCAAACTTAGTCAAGGTATTACTGTAATGAAACTATACACCAAGTTTCATCAATCTCACTTAATTAGAACTAAAGTTATCGTGTCCCAAAGCATCAACCAATCAAATTGCTTATCTCTGCTTACCCTAAGCTGAAAATGCTCATCTTCGAACTCCATCAAGGCATTGACCTAATCAACACATACACCAAGTTTGAACATTCTAGCTCAATTAGGAAGAGAGTTATCGTGCCCCAAAGTATCAACCAATCAAATTGCTTATCTCTGCTTACCCTAAGCGGAAAATGCTCATCTTCGAACTCCATCAAGGCATTGACCTAATAAACACATACACCAAGTTTGAACATTCTAGCTCAATTAAAAGTTATCGTGTCCCAAAGCATCAACCAATCAAATTGCTTATCTCTGCTTACCCTAAGCGGAAAATGCTCATCTTCGAACTCCATCAAAGCATTGACCTAATCAACACATACACCAAGTTTGAACATTCTAGCCCAATTAGGAAGAGAGTTATCGTGTCCCAAAGCATCAACCAATCAAATTGCTTATCTCTGCTTACCCTAAGCGGAAAATGCTCATCTTCGAACTCCATCAAGGCATTGACCTAATAAACACATACACCAAGTTTGAACATTCTAGCTCAATTAGGAAGAGAGTTATTGTGTCCCAAAAAGTGTGACGGACAGACAGACGGACAGACAGAAGGACAGACAGACGGACAGACAGACAGACAGACAGACGGACGAACCCATTTTAATAGTCCCCTGCTTTCTTCGAAAGGCGGGGGACAAAAAAAGAAAGACAATTGAATTTACTGGTTTAGTGAATAGAATGTACATACAGAAGGGTTTACAAAATAGGTATGAATTTCATACACCGTTGACAAGACTTGTGCCTTGAATTATAATGATGTTTTCATATCAACTAAATAAACTATGGCATAAACATCAAATATATGGTATAATAATAAACTATAACATATACTTACAGATAACAATTATTAAAAATGTTCAGAAAAAACTCTTTGAAAGTTTGCATAAATAAATTAAGTACTGTAATTGTTCTTCCATAAGCATATGTTATATGTTATTGCTCTATCCAGTTACTAAATGTCTCTAACCGATTAATATGGTTAAATGCCTATGTTTATATTATATACTTGTAGAATTTTTAACTAAAAATTTTCAACTGAGGGTATATATATATATTAGAGAGAGAGAGAGAGAGAGAGAGAGTGGGGTTTAACGTCCACTCCACACAAACTATGATATGATTTAATTCTATTTCAATAATTCACTTGCAAGTAGGGGTCTTTAGCATTGAGGGAGAAAGGGAGAAATGGAGTTTAACATCCACTCGACACAAACTAGGTCATTTCGGGACTAACATATGGTTTAATTTTATTTCAATAATTCGCTTGCGCGTAGGGGTCCCTACTCCTTGTCACGTACAACCGGGGATTCTAAACCACGCCAGTTGACTCAATGACAGGCTTTATGATACAGCGTGCACGTGCTAACCATTCGGCCATCCAATTTATGAAATAAATTGTGTTTAAATCAATCTCAACATTGCAAATTAAATAATTAATACAGTTAATGACATGTTAGTTCATTTCATTGTAATATGTCAGACAGTTTGGAATTACACCGACCACTAAAATGTAATTAGTAACAAACTTAGTTCATTTCATTGTAATCTTTTCTAATTACTAATCCTTCATTGTAAATGTTGTCAAAATTGGCTTCATTGACAGATTAATCCTCTAATTCAATTTTATCTTGGGTGTTTGGATTAACTATTAAGCCCTTGTTGGAACAACAGACTTCTATCTATCATGACATTAACTAATCTATGTTACATAACACAACAAAGGATTCCTTTAGGATGATATGGGTGGCCAATGTTACTCAGTGGACAACTCATTCTGTAATGTGCGACATTTTCCCATATCAAATGAAATGGGGTTTAACGTCCTACTGTTCTGCTCTGACTATGGGCTAATGAATTGTCAACAAGCGAATTTAAAATTAAGCTTTTTTTGCATTTGCAAATGCTTAAAAGCTTCAATATACAATATAATCATTTCTAATATCTACTTTTGATTTATTATAGCAAGGAATAGCCAGCTCTTTATCTAAAGTGTGTCCTTTGGAAAATATTCTTGTACTGAAATATAGTAGGTACCCCCACCCCCTCACATTGGACTTGTTACACACATTCCAAATATTACTTTAACATGGAGATCTTTGCTACAGTTGATCCATAAAGAAGATTTAAAGAATCAGGAAATGTCGAAAATAAAAGAAAAAGTTAATGTCCCTGATTGACAATATTCCTGTGTAGACATACAGTTATATATGAGACTGTGAGAAGATATCAGATCGAAACTATTCATAAAAAGTTACCACTGTCTCCACAACATGGATTATAAATATTGCAATTCAGATTGTGCTCTAAATCTAAAGCCATAATTGGCCGATCTTTATTCATCAAATATGAATTCATATTCATTTCTTATCTCTAAACATACGCTATTTCATACATAACTTGACAATGATCAAAACTTGGTTTTCAGATACTTCTCATCTCTAAGACTAAGCATATGATATTTCATACATAACAATGATCAAAACTTGGATTTCAGAAGCTTGAATTACTACTCATTCAGTGTACTGTACTTATTTAAAGTGTAATCCTTATAAGACATATAGAGGTAGATTTCACAAATTAAAAACACTTATATGGATATACTACTTCTGAATTTATTAACATGCTACGTTTCGATACACATGCAGATATCGTTATCAAGCAAATAATGATTTATAACAAAAATGTGGTGCAATATATAGTTAACAATTGGAAACCATGTAACAGATAAATCTTTAATTAAGAAATAACAAGATGAGAGAAGTCATAATATGGATAAACAATTACAAAGGATTAACAAATTGAAAGATTGTAATGTATTGATAACGATTAGAAATTATTATTTGAATTTAGCAGATCAAACTAATAATCGATAAGAGATTAACGATTATATATTGCACCACATTTTTGTTATAAATCATTATTTGCTTGATAATGATATCTGCATGTGTATCGAAATGTAGCATGTTAATAAATTCAGAAGTAGTATATCCATATAAGTGTTTTTAATTTATTTAAAGTGTGTCTAAAATATCATACCCACTTAAAAGAAATTACATCTTTGATTTAGCTTAAAAATGTACAACAAGGCTGAAATACACTCTGGAGCCTACACAATTTGCAATTACTTTTTTGTAAAGGAATAAAGATTGCATTCATTTGGCTTTATAGTTGAAGCAGAATTAATATTAGCTACAATATTGTCGCACTAAACTCTGTTATGTGGAAATTAAGGAAGCTATAGGTCAGTAACATTATTTTAGTCATTTGATTAAAAAGAACTTGCTCATTTGAACTGCTTAAAACGATCCACTACTGTGGCTGGAGTAAGACAGAAGAGATCAGTAGTGGAACCATTTCTATATTACTATATGTAATCTATGCAAGGACTATTTCTCTTTTTCTCTGTTTTTCTGATCACATGACAGTAAATTAATTTTAGGGATAGTTTCGAACTGATATCTCGCATCCTATACACAACTCTTTAACTTCACAAGAATTATCAGTGATTTTAAAATTATCTGTTTACAGCTCTCTACTTCAGTCAGTATAAAAAATAGCTGGTTGACTTTATTTGTGTCACTTCCCGATTCTTTCAATTAATCCAATGTAAAAATAATATTTGGTATTGTCTTTACGTATCACATTCACAAGTAAAATTGGTGGATACCAACATTGTCTTTGGCTTTAACAAGTTTTTTGGGGTGACTGAAATATCTTTAAAATTATATTTTTGGAGCTTTTATATACCTCTATCATTGAGCATGTTTGGAATGCTGTAAATATAAGCATAAAAGAGACACCAAGCACGATAATATTGTACAATCTGATATCACACGTCGCCATCTTGAACAACAATATTATCACATGACATTATTGTCATTTTTATGGTCACGAGATTTTGTAAAGTTTTCTAGGCAGTGTTTGGTTTGATGGTTTCGTAGCTGGTGCGCTGTGCGCTAAGGAATTTGGAATACCCGTAATTAAATCTTCTATATCATGTTCTAATTTTTCTAAGTTAATTAGGCCTAACAGATTTTTGTGTTTTTTAAAAGTAGCTTAGATATTATAACACAATTTAGAATAATCAATAATTGTGTTCGCAGTTTGAGCTTTGACAGTTTGATTTCTAGTGTTGGCATAATTAATATGTGCTCCACTATCATCTGTTTTATAATTTATTGTCTGGGTTTTGGACATTAGCTATTATTGTGTTGGCCGTTAAACAAACATAACACGGCCTTGATCATACGCCGAGTACTTCCGGAAATAATCCGAGATATTCATTGTAATTTCATTGGTCAGATAATTATTAATGCGAAGAGGCAAATGATTCTAGCCAATCAACGACAGATAAGACTTACGGAATACACCGAGTTAAAACCTTTCGCGACACTTTGCCGCTCCAAATGGTAAGCGTGTATCTGCGGTTTCAAGATTGACATAGATGTTTGAAGAAAAAACGTTTTTGATTTGCTCAAATTGTAAAGAATTGACTTTCTTATGAGTTACGGAAGAGGACCTCCTAAGACAGAAGGGATGACATCCCTAAAAGTGGATAATTTAACCTACAGAACCAGACCAGAAGATCTAAGAAGATCATTTGACAAATATGGCGACGTTGGAGATGTTTATATCCCACGCGATCGCTTCACTAAAGAAAGTAGAGGATTCGCCTTTGTCAGATTTTATGACAAAAGAGACGCCGAAGATGCAATGGATGCTATGGATGGTGCTATGATGGATGGAAGAGAGCTCCGGGTTCAGATGGCTAGATATGGAAGACCATCAAATTCACGAGGTTACAACGATCGCCGAAGAAATAACTACGGCGGGCATGGTGGTGGTGGTGGAGGCGGGCGTTCAAGGAATAGATCTAGGTCAGTACGTCATAGAGCAGCCTATTCCAGTCCGTTGTTCATGATTTTGTTCCGTTCCAGTGTAATTGTTGCAAGTCTGCTAGCCTAGTCCAAGATAATGTTGACCTTGAATTAATATAATCAATCTATTAGTATTAGCCTAGTTTAAAAATAAAAACTAAATTCTTAACTAATAATATTATAAACTAGATCAAAACAGATACTGACAAGTGTGAAGTGACAGATCTAGGAATGATTCCCAAACTAAATTAACCCCCATAATTGTTTTTATCCAGATAATTTGCATCGGGACTGAAATTAAATTTTCTGTGAAGAGTTACACATTTGGCACAGTTCCGAGACCGGTTATTTTAGAGTATTGTAAACGGGTCAATTTCTTGAAAATTATTGCAGCCCGGTACCATGTCGAGAACGACACGCTTATTGCGGCTAAGTGTAACCAGGGCTTAAGTGTAATAAATAACTTGTTGAATAGTTGAAAAATGGCTCAAAATTGTGATCCAGTAGAATGTTTTTTCTGTAAAGCTATTAATAATTATTTTTTTAATTTTAAGATCTAGGTCAAGATCCAGAGACAGATATTCAAGGAGACGAAGGTCTCATAGCAGATCAAAATCACGAAGCCGATCACGGAGCAAGTCAAGATCAAGAAGTGTCAGTCGTTCTAAGAGTCGAACACCAAAGAGTGAACCAAGGCAGTCGAGAAGTCGGTCACCATCAAAATCCCCAGATAGATCTCCAAAGGATAATGCCGAATTTGATTAAAGTGTTCTGTTAGTGCTTCCTGTGTAAACCACTGGTATGAAAATGTGGACAAGAATAACGCTCTCTATTATAGAGATAAAAACAGTTGAAACAGGTTACTATTGCTTTGTGATCTAGACATTCACTAGTAATACTTGTATATATTTATAGGCATCATGAGCACATTTTATTTACCTTTGACTTGGGAATAGATTTTAGCATTGAATGCTACATGTATATAATACTGAAAGTATTGCAAAATTTTAAAGTTTTATGTTCTATTATCTTTAATGATAAAACAATCATCAGTATTTTGAGTAATATTCATGATGGCTACATAAACTGCCATAAACATCGTACATCATAAAGAAATGACAATTTTAACATTGAATAAATAAAAAATCTTTTATTAACCTATATATTTTCTTGTCTCCCCAGTCAGGAGCTGAGTAACGGGTAATTGTGCTGTTTGCTGTATAGTAAGCGGAGGTGACCACTGCTTGCAGTTTATTCCCTGTTGTGGCCTGTTTGTTGGCAGTTGCTGAACAGAAGCAGTTTTCCTGTTAGCAGTGTCTTTCCTGATTTTGCTGAATTCCTGTAAATTTTCATTTGGGAATCTATTTCATTTGAGATCAACTTTTCCCATAAAGCGGTCAAGATGGTTTTACATGAATTTCAATTTTTTATAAAATCATAAAAAGATACGCTTTGTCAGCAGATCTATCGCCTGTTAAGTCGAGTTTAGTTGAGTTTAGTTTGTGTCATGCTTGCCTTGATTTGGGTGCTGTCAGTAAAAAATATAAAGAGTACCCTGCAACATTCGACATGTTGTTCAGTAATCAAATTTTAAAATTTAATTAGGTGTGACAAGAGACTAATTAATTGGGTGTCAAAGAGAATCAAAAGAACGTAGTAGCACAATCAACTAAAAAAAATTTCATTGAAATTTGATCATATATATTGTCATCCCACTTTGATTTCGAATAGAATGTGATTCATGAGCTCTAGTGACTAAAGTTAGCACCTGATTGATCCACAGTAGGGGCCTACGATGGCTCAGTGACCAAGACGTTGGCTCACTAACCTGGAGGTCTTGTGTTTGATCCCTGTGTCGGCCTAGAATGTTCATCAGGATTTCGATCCTAGTTCTCTCTTATTAGTTCAGGGGGATGGTTAGCGCAAGAGCGTTGTAACTTAAAGTCTGTCATTGAGTCAGCTGGCGTGGTTTCGATTCTCAGGTTGTATATGACAAGGAGTAGGGTCGAATGTCCAACCTCGTGGGTTTTCTCCTGGTCCTCCTGTTCCTTCCACTGCTAAAGACCCCTTTGCACAAGTGAATTATTGAAATAAAATTGATCCATGTTTTTGTCCTGAAATGACCTAGTTTGTGTTGAGTGGACCTTAAACACCATTTCTCTCTGCTCTGGCTGGATTAATGAAAACGGGCATACACCATACATTGTGCTATGAGGGAAATATTGCTTGGACAGTGGCGCTATGACCTACTCTTAAATCGAAATGATCTAGTTTGTCCAGATTTCTCGCACAATCCGATTGACATTAAATTTATACACAGTGTTTAAGATCATGAGACGAAGAAGCCTATAGATTTTCACTGATTTCCAATAACTACTGCCAGAGTTATGGCCCTTGATCACTTTGAAAAATCTTGTGGACGCTCTATAGGCTAAAGTTAATATCGGATTGACTTTATATTTATACACAGTGTTTAAGGTCATGAGACAGAGAATCCTATTGATTTTCACCGATTTCCGATAATTACTGGCAGAGTTATGGTCCTTGATCACTTTAAAAAATCTTGTGGCTAAATTTATACAGTGTTTAAGGTCATGAGATGCAGATCCTATTGACTTTCAGCGATTTTCCTCTAATTGCTGCCAGAGTTATGGCCCTTGATCACTTTGACAAATCTTATGGACACTCTAGAGGCTAAAGTTAATATCCGATTTACTTTAAATTCATACACAGTGTTTAAGGTCATCAGACAAAGAAGTGTATTTATTTTCAACGATTTCTGATAATTACTGCCAGAGTTATGGCCCTTGATCACTTGTGGATGCCCTAGAGGCTTAAGTTAATATCCGATTGAAATGTGGTCGTATATTGTTGTTGCCCCCGTCCGTCCTTAATTGCTTGTGGACACTCTAGAGGCTAAAGTTAATATCCTATTGACTTTATAAATTTATACAGTGTTTGAGGTCATCAGATGAAGAAACCGATTGATTTTCAACAATTTCTGATAATTACTGTCAACAGTTATGGCCCTTGATTACTTTGAAAAATCTTGTGGATGCTTTGGAGACAATAGTTATCATCTGATTGATTTTATATTTATACACCGTGTTTACGCCTATATATAATCATTTCGATTGTCTTTAGATTGATACGGGGGGTCACAGTGGGTAAGACGCTGGCTTGCTAGCCTGGAGGTCTGGTGTTCGATCCCTGCATTGGCCGAGAAAGTTCACCCAGATTTTCCGGCGTGGTTCCCCCTTATCAGTGATGCAGGATTGAGGGCCTGACAAGGACAGCTGTCTAGTCATTCGGATGAGACAAAAAAACGTGTACACATTGGCGTGCGCGTAAAAGATCCCTTGACAGTTGGAATTCGATATAAGAGTAGGCTGTAGTGCTGCTGTTCGGGCAAAATTTCCCTCATAGCACACTGTATGGCGTATACCCGTCTTCATTAGCCCAGTTCGGAGCAAAACAGTAGGACATTAAACCCCATTTCATTTCATCGTTCCACAATGACGTTGAGCAGGAGTGATTGAATAATTTGGCATTAAATGTGACTTTAGGAAGTGGACATTTTTGGTTATTACTTGATTCTTTTATTGCAGCACTGAGTGGTTTTAAATTATACTGTTCTATTTAAGTAATCTTCATTGTGTATTAAAGATACACTATGGGAGATTAGATAAAGAGCTTGCAGTTCTCACTATGATAGTTAAAAACTAGATAATATAAAGGGCATATGCTTCGGTCAAATTGCTTCATTCTGAATCGAGATAGCGATTCAATTTTAAAATCACTATGGTTAGCACATGCGCGCTGTATCATAAGGTCTGTCGTTGAGTCAACTGGCGAGGTCTTGATTCCCCAGTTGTACGTGACGAGGAGTAGGGTTTTCTGCAAGTCGTCCGGTTGCCTTCCACTGCTAAAGACCTACGCGCAAGCGAATTATAGAAATAAAATTGAACCATATGTTAGTCCCGAAATGACCTAGTTTGTGTTGAATGGACGTTAAACCCCATCTCTCTCTCTCCTCCAGTGCTTCACACTAAATTGAAATAAATCGGTTAAAACTTGTCTAGGGTGTTCAGGTTTCTATTAAATGGGCCATTAGGTAAGATTAGATATAGCTGACAGTTCTCACTATTATTATGGTTAAATAATGGAAACAGAATATGCTGAAAATTTCAAATTGCTTCACTCTGAACCAAGATAGTGATTCAATTTTAGGATAGTGTTGATCGTCGTTACTAACGTTGGTAGGACAATAAACAAAGTCACGATTATCCATTTTTATAGCCCACACTGAAATGTGGTGAATATCCAATAGACTTTTAATTTATAGACAGTGTTTATGGTCATCAGACAAAGAATCCTATTAATTTTCAGCAATATTGGATAATTACTCCCAGAGTTATGTCCCTTGATCACTTTGATTAAGTTAAATTATCCATCACAAAATGTATTCAAATCCAGTAAATATCACAGGCTAACGATAGTATCGATGGTTGATTATGGTCTGGATAAGTTAATTAATATCTAATTAATAATTTAGATAACATCCAGGCCTAAAGAAAGACCTGCAATAGGCAGATTTAGCTCTTGCATAATGCTTGTTTAATCTACATCGTGTTTTCAAATCAAAATACATGTACTGTATACCGGCCAGAGGCGGAGTCGTAAAATATATATTTGGGGGGGGGGGGGGGTCCGCAAATGAAATTATATAAAATGTTAATCTGTGACACCGGAGGCACGAGGCTGCTGCACGATGTAGCGCGATAGGGAGAGTGTGGGACGCCACCCCTATAAAGAAAATTTAAAGTTTTAGTCTTCTGTAGACACTGTTGTGGCATATTTTACGGGGTTAAACTAAAACATCACACTAATACAATTATGGAACACAGTTACTTTTCACTTCACACGTTTCCAGGATGATTCTCTTTGTGTTTTATTTTAGCAATGTAAACCATATTGGGATATGTACAGGTTTTATACAGATAAGATCTTAACTAATCCTAATATTTGATGTAAATAAATATGAGTTAGGGCCCACTATGTAAATTTGGGGGGGGGGGGGTCAAAGTATATTCAGCCCCCTCCCCCCCCCCCCCCCCCATGTGTGACGCCCATGATACCGGTACTAAATAATATAACATATCATTTTGTTTAATATGAACTTAACCTATTGACTTTCTATCCAAATTGATGAGATAAATCGAGGTTTGGTATATGTAGATAGCCAACATATAGGCATACTAAGTTTCAAACTTTCAGTTGAAATATGTCCTACAGAAAGTATGCACACGTAAAATATGACTAACTTTTGTTTAGATTAGAAACATTTGATAAAACATTACCGAGTTATCTCCAACATATCCAAGCAAAAAAAAAAAATGTAAAACAAATGACCTTGTACCCATTATATACCGCATACAATAGAAAAACGACTTGGGTTGATGCAGCACGAAATGCACGGCGTATAATGTTAGTTTATAATTCAGGATATGCGAAAAGAAAAGTTACAAATAATTGTCCGAAGTTTATAATTCAGGATATGCGAAAAGAAAAGTTATTAATAATTGTCCGAGACAACCCGAGGTCGGTTCGCAGTGGTACACCAGTTTAGACAAATTATTTTACATAGGAATACGGGACCCTAATCTTCCCCACCCCCACCCATTTCGAGTCGTGTTATATTTCTAAAATTATAATAATTAAAGATGTGGCTCTAAAATGTTACAGAGTTAAAAAAAAAAATGATGGTTTAAGAGTGGGATAGTATGTCCCACCGAATACCAGGACGGAGGGCCTGACAAGGACAGCTGTCTAGTCCTTCGGATGAGACAAAAAACCAAGGTCCCGTGTATACATTGGAATGCACGTAAAAGATCCCTTGGCAGTTGGAATTCGATATAAGAGTAGGCGAGAGTGCCGCTGCCCGGGCAAAATTTCCCTCATAGCACACTGTATGGCGTATGCCTGTCTTCATTAGCCCAGTATAGGAGCAGAACAAAAGGACGTTAAACCCCATTTCATTTCCCACCGAATACCTGACAACTCATCCCAAGTTAAAAGACAACTCATCCCAAGATAACCGATACCACCCAATCCACCTTCACGCCGTGCAGGTTTTATACACAAAATAATTATATCAATAAAACCAATTTATGAAATTACACACATATAATTATGTTGCTAACAGCGACGACACCTCTAAACCTGCATGGACTATTGCTAAAAAGAAAACAGTAATCAAAATTTTAACGAACAAAAAGACGTTGTTTCTCTCGACACAGATTGATACAAATTGTAAACCAGTGAACTGTAACGGTAAATTTCTTTGATCTTTCCCGGTTTTTCTATGCCTGGAATAACTTGCAGAATTCCTTAGTTTTCTTCTATTAAAATTTATTTTCGGTTTATAAGTTAGATAATGCACTCGTTTTCGGTTAGGCTGGATCGGAAAGAAAACCTCGGCCTTGGGGGTTTCTGTCATCTCGATCTCTTTCTTCGACTCTTTCTTTCCCCAGCATAGCCTCAGACTTAGTGCTTTTTATCACCCAATAATACATTCTACAGTAGATATCGCTTGTGTGGTATATTTCATAATCTACTGCGATATCTCCTTAGAAGGGATTGGATGATAAATAAAATCACCTACTCGTCTTTTTGGATATCAAAAAATATCAACACTCGTTAATAAAGTAAAAAAAACTCGGCAGAGCCTCGTTTTTGTTACTTTATCAACTTGTGTTGATATTTTTTTGATATAAAAATAGACTGGTAGGAAATTCTCTATATCCATTACGGAATGCCCTTGAAAATAAATATAACAGTTTTCTTCTAATATATCTTCCTTTCAGTATTCATCATTGAGATTCCCCGGCATGGTTTCCCATTCAGTGGTGCAGGACGGAGGACCCGACTTAAGGACACCTGTCTAGTCATTTGGATGGGACTAGAATCCGAGGTCCCGTGTACACATTGGCGTGCACGTTAAAGATCCCTTGGTAGTTGGAATTCGATATAAGAGTATAGGCCGTAGCATCGCTGTCAGGGTAAAATTTCCCTCAACACACCGTATGGCGCATGCCCGTCTTCATAAGCCCAGTCGGAGCAGAACAGTAGGACGTTAAACCACATTTCATTTCATTCCTAAATTTCAGTATTATATTCTAGATCGGACACTTGTTTAGAAAAAATAGTTATGGGCTTTGCCCCACTGTGCCCCAGTTTCCCCAACCTGTTTTTGTTTAATTTTCAACTACCACACTTTAAACGATAGGTATGTTCATTGCCATAAGACCAGTATTTCAAAGTTTCGGGAGCTTCGTTGAGATTCGCAAGTCCGTTCGTTTGACAATTTCCTCCCTGGTCGGGTAAACTAGGCGTCAGGCGGTTGTTGTTGTTGTTGTTAGTGTTTAACGTCCGCTTCCACCGAAGGTGATATCGCAGACAAGTTGTCTTTTTTTTATTTTCATGATCTTAGCGCACGCGCAGGGGTCTTTCGTGTGGGAGGAAACCGGAGTATCCGGAGTAAACCCACGAGGTTGAGAAGGCGCCCCTATCTCCATGCCACATACGCTCACACCAGGGATCGAAACCACAGCCGCAAGCCAGAGGTGACCGGCCAGCTAGAGGTCGAAGCGTGACACTCTAGACCACTAGGCCATCCCAACCCCCCTCGTCAGGCGGTATCTGGTCAGATCTATTTATCTCGACGATCAGTGCCCGAAATTCTGCCAGACTGCATTTCCGGTAAAAATGGTTCGACGTACTACTGATGTCTTCCCTCTTGCTCCAGCCACAGCCGTGGATCGCTCTAAGGTCTTCCTTTGAGCAAGTTTTGTAGTCATTTGACTTCCAAAAAGTTACTAGCCTATAACTCCCTTAATTTCCGATTACTCTAACCAACTGTACTGCACATAGCTTATAAAGGGACAATAACACTCTTGTTGGCTTGACAGCTCCAGAAAATAGATAATAGCCTTATTCTAAGTATTAGATGTTTAATTGTCCTACCTGTTGTGTAAATTATCCATTAAATCCTATTTTACTTGTCCAGAGGGTTCGAAAATATTTTAAAATCCAAGTCACAGTTGAAAAGGTTTACGTTAGGCTTTTCAAATCATTCAGTTGAATCATTCAGTTGAATTTTTCCAATTTTTTAAATTAGGAGTGTTAAGATAAAAATGTGTATCATCAATTAATTGGAATATTGTAAACTAGTACAATTTGTTGACCAGAATAAAGATTGGGGCATATTATTCAGTTACAAGAAGAGTGGTATTGAGCCTTTAACATAAAACCAATTCCCTTTAGAATAAAGGTGAAACCTTGCCGCATAATTATATGATTTGATTAAACCCAACTGCTATGTAATGCGAAATTTCTATTCATTTTAAAATGGCCGACGAACCAGAATCACGTACATGATTATTTGTCACTCGAACATACAGAAAAACTGTTCGGTGAGATACGATTAAGATTTCAGTGTTCCACTAGTCACTATTTGTAACATAATTTAAATAATTACTTATTTCCATCCAAACTGTGATGATATGTGTTGAAAATATGCAACTGAACATAAATTGCAAAGCCTCGAATAGTATATCAGTCCTTCACGTTTAAGGGGAGATTTCGCTCCTGCTCCTCTCGACGCACGTCGGCTTTCCTTCGAAGGAGTCATTAAAGACTCCTGCAAATTAGCTAAATCGCTCTCCTAAATATTGAGATTAGTCAACTACTTTCAGTTTTTGTTTACTTTTAAACTGCATTATATTCAAGGTATCAGGAGCTTTTTATGGCTCCCGCACAATTTTATAAACATAAGGACTGGTTGATCAATTGTAGCCGGGCATAAGACAGGACGCGGGTACATATTGTAGCTACATTTCCGGCAGTTTCTTTTTCAAAAATTTCTATGGGAGGCTCCCCATACCCCTGATTGAAACTCGCGCCTTTGCCTCCTAATCCTTGAACTTTGCCCCAGCTTTGCTCCTCAAACCACCGGCTGCCAGCCCCCCCCCCCCCCCCCACACACACACACACACACACACACACACTGCGTGTGGATCTTGACCGCGTTTTATTCCTTTCGAGTCAAATTAATTTTCTCACCGAGAAGTATTCAAGTAATGCCATAATGTATAACTTACATGCTGCTATAAAAGGGTGTTTTATGTAATAAAATATCTAGATCTAAAACATCTATCTCTATCTATTTAGGAAAGTCGATTGCGTCTGGATAAGAACTCTACTGGTTGTTGACTGGATAGTCGAGACTACCGCTTTTGACCTAGATTCAGAACAAAAGCACCTTGCAACGGAAGAGGAAGGTTTCAACTAGAAAGACACGTTTAATCGCCATTTTGAATCACCGCTGAGGCAGAATTTCTGTTCAGACACAAAATCATGAGTTATGGCAGAGATGGAAGAAATGGGCCCCCTTCAACGGAGGGTATGGTATCTCTAAAAGTGGACAATTTGACCTACAGAACTAGACCCGAAGATTTACGTCGGGCATTCGATAAATATGGAGAAGTTGGCGACATCTACATTCCACGCGATCGCTTTACTAAAGAAAGTCGTGGATTTGCTTTCGTCAGGTATTATGACAAAAGAGATGCTGAAGACGCCATGGACTCAATGGACGGTGCTATGATGGATGGAAGAGAATTGAGGGTGCAAATGGCAAGATACGGCAGACCATCAAATTCTAGAGGACAAGATAATCGAAGACGAGGAGGTGGAGGGGGGTACCACGGCAGAGATCGTGAACGTGATGGTGGTGGCCGCTCAAGATATAACAGTCATAGGTCAGGTTTTCTTTCATCATGGGTAGGGTTGTAAAAATTTAAAAATAGGATAATCTGGGTCAGTTATTACCTAACACAAAGAGTTAACAAAATAAATAGAAATGGCCTCTTTAGAGAAAGAGAGACAAGGGGTTTACCGTCCACTCGAAACAAACTAGGTCATTTCGGGACTAACACGGTTCAGTTTTATTTCAATAATTTGCATGAGTGTAAGGGGTCTGAAGCTGTAGGTAGCAGATCCAGAGATAACATGCGGTGTTGGATAGTTCAAGCAGGGAATTGAAACCATGCTATCAGACTCGATGAGACCTTGTGATCTCGCACACATTAAATATTTTGGCCCCCCCCCCCTCTTTTTAGAGACAGTGTACCGGTATGAAGAATGATGTCACTATGAATATGATAATGCACTAAAGAGCAAAATTAAAATCACATTTCTACTGAGCTGATGTGTTTGTGTCAACTAACGAAATAATTTAGATTCTATTGTCTTTTATTATTATCCCTCTAGAGTAGGCCTACTCATTCAAATATCTGACAGTGTTGTAATATTCTATTTCAGATCCAGATCAAGATCCCGAGACAGATATTCAAGAAGGCGAAGATCCTACAGCAGGTCCAGATCTCGAAGTCGATCACGAAGCAAATCTCGATCAAGAAGTGCTAGCAAATCAAGAAGCAGATCACCATCAAAGTCTCCAGTTAGATCCAGATCTGCCTCTCCAATGGAGAATGGAGAAAATGAATGAATATAATGGACTGGAGGGGGGAACTTGAATGCAAATAATAAAAAAATCATCATCCAACACAGACAGAATGCTATTTGTGAAACACATATCTGTTTCGTAGACAACTCTTGTTTACTGAATTGTTGCCTTTCAGTATTAAAGGTAACATGCCTTCTTTTGTATGTGTTTTAGTGTTTCATATTGTGTTTTATAATTAAATAAATTTTATTTGTCCTTCTCAGCAACTTGATTTGTTTTAAGGACACGATAAAATATTATTACCATAATGTAAAGAATTGTCTTATAGTTTACGTAATTTCAGATATTGTTGTTTTTATGTGTAGTGTCCTTCGTTTATCATTTTCATCTATCATTATTCGCATACATTCTGTATAATAAGAATAAAACGTTTTCATTCACTAACCTATATATTTTCTTGTCTCCCCAGTCAGGAGCTGAGTAACGGGTAATTGTGCTGTTTGCTGTATAGTAAGCGGAGGTGACCACTGCTTGCAGTTTGTACCCTGTTGGCCTGTTTGTTGGCAGTTGCTGAACAGAAGCAGTTTTCCTGTTAGCAGTGTCTTTCCTGATTATGCAGATACAGGCTGATTTAGCTGTGATTTTATTTTGGCCATCATGTCATTTAAATTTGATTGGGATCATCTTTCAATGACTAAAAATTCTCAAAAAAAGTAACTAAACACTCAATCTATATTTCGTTTCGTTTTTTTATACCTTCGATGGCCTACACTACATGAAGATCTGGCCGGTTGTGGCGATAGGTCGCGTTGGGGGTCATACGAGTGGCTTTTGACCCTATGATGTCAGATGTTCGATTAACCAATCAGCATTGATGTTACTAGTGGATTACCCACAGTTCCGTGCAAAAAACGCCCAAAGCTCGCCGTAACAGACCGTTTCATTGGCTAATTCCTCCCATCATTGAGAACACGTAGTAAAGACAAGTAAAACAGAATTTTGAACTATAAAAAACGAAACGAAATAAGATCTGTGTTTTAATCAGATTGCTAAACACTTGCTTATAGCTTTGAAGCGGTTTGTTGAAATTGGTGCAAATTCAAAAGTTAGAAAATTAGTCAAGCTATAAGCAAGGAGTACAACTATTTAGATGGGGTTTATTGTCCACATAATTTCTTTCCCAAAAGAATCGGACCAAACATGTGGTAGTTGTATAGCGGGGCTTGAAAACAAGTTGTCTCAAGAGTTAATGAATTTCATTAGGAATGTCAGTTTCGAAAGTTAAGATATGTTAACTTCAAGGATGTACTTGAGCTCTCAATTGTTTGATTTGACTATACACGAATTAGATTTGGCATGGTTAAGTTTTGAGTTTATGCAAAATTTCGAATTAAGTTGAAGTGTGTCCATCAACTAAAACAAATTAACACTTGATCAAAGCACATGCAATACCATATTCCTGAAGCAATAGCCCGAGAAATTCCTGACGCGAGATTTTGAGGGAGTGTGTCTATTCTTCCCGTTCAATCAAATCTCTCCTATGTACAGCAATAGGCTCTAATAGTCCTTCGTTTAATCTGGGGTCATCCTTAAAATTTTGGACTGTGATTTAAGGTATAAAAAAACGGTGAAAGTATTGTTTGTCACCAAACAGTATTCATTACATTGTAGCCGTTTTGATAGCCTCGTTTGGCATGCAATTAGAATTTCTGCTATTCACTGGTTAATTCGGCGTAATGAATTTTGTGAGTCATGACGTAACGTTTTGTAAACATACCTGGAGATCTGTTTAAATCGGAATGATATTGTTACGCAGTTAGCTATTGGTTGTTAATCGGACTATTGACCAGTCATAATTTGGAACAGAAATTTGCTTTCATTACTGCAGTGTTTAGTGGGATTGGGTCTAATCAAACGAAAAACTTTAAGGAGTATGATGCAATACAGGCATTGAGATAAGTAAACAAAATTCACTATCTAGTCCTTAATTAAGGAGAACCTATTTCCAAAATAGACGAATTTTAATACAGTTGGCCCGATTTAGTTGGTGTTCGATCCTTGCATTGGCCGAGAAAGTTCATCCCGATTTTCCGACGTGGTTTCCCCTTGTCAGTGATGCAGGACGGAGGGCCTGACAAGGACAGCTGTCTAGTCCTTCGGATGAGATGAAAAACCGAGGTCCCGTGTAAACATTGGAATGCACTTAAAAGATCCCTTGGCAGTTGGAATTCGATATAGGAGTAGGCGATAGTGCCGCTGCCCGGGCAAAATTTCACGCATAGTACACTTTATGGCGTATGCTCGTCTTCATTAGCCCAGTATAGTTGTAGGACGTTAAACCCCATTTCATTTCCGAGTTTAGTTTATCTTTCTAGAACACCTGATGCCAACCATTTACTAGAAAAGTTTGTATGGCTAACAATTTCAGCTGTACATTGCATTCAAGTGCAAAGTTGTGCCAGATATGGTTGTAAGTAGGCCTTTGCTTGGAATTTGATCGAAACATAATTGACCCAGTTCATGGGTTCTCTCCAGTTTCCTACCACTGTTAAAGACCCCCCCCCAATGCGCAAGCGAATTATTGAAATAAAATTAAACCATACCTTTAGTCCTGAAATGACCTAGTTTGTATCGAGTGGAAGTTAAACCCCATTTCTCTCCACCCACATTAGCCCCTCCATTCAATTTAAAGTCTTTAAAAACCATTCCCTCCTATATACTCCTTAAATATATTGAATTTGGTAGTTACATTGGTTACATGTTGAGCTTTCTGTTTTGAGAGAGAAATAAGGTTTAACGTCCACTCGACACAAACTAAATAATTTCGGGACTAACATATTGTTTAATTTTATTTCCATAATTCGCTTGCGCGTAGGGGTCTTTAGCAGTGGGAAGACCCGGAGAAAACCCACGAGGTTGCACAGACGACCCTACTCCTTGTCACGTACAACTGGGGAATCAAAAGCACACCAGTTGACTCAATGACAGACAGTGCATGTGCTAACCATTCAGCCATCCAGCCCTACACATTTGTTACATGTTGGGCGCCACAGTGGCTCAGTGAGTTAGACATTGGACTGCGAAACTGAAGGTCCTGTGTTCTATCCGTGTGGGGGAGCCATGGTGACTCAGTACGTAAGACATTGGCTCGCTAACCTGGTGGTACTGTGTTCGATCCCAGTGTTGGTTGAGAAAGTTCATCATTTTTTTCCAGCGTGGTTGCCTCTTGTCAGTGGCGTGCGCGTTGTATCATAAAGTCTGTCATTGAGTCAACTGGCGGGGTTTCGATTCCCTGGTTGTACATGACAAGTAGGGTCACCTGTCCAACCTCGTGGGTTTTCTCTGGGTCCTCCGGTTTCCTCCCACTGCTAAAGACCCCTACGCGCAAGCGAATTATGGAAATAAAATTGAACCATGTTAGTCCCGAAATGACCTAGTTTGTGTTGAGTGGACGTTAAACCTCATTTCTCTCTCTCTCTCTCTCTTGTCAATGGTTTAGGATGGGATGAAAAACCAAGGTCCCGTGTACACATTGGCATGCACGTAAAAGATCCCTTGACAGTTGGCATTCGAACTAAAGTAGGGCATGGCGCCGCTGTCCAGGCACATTTTCCCTCATAGCAAATTGCATGGCATATACCCGTTTTCATTAGCCCAGCAGGAATAGAACAGTAGGACATTAAACTTCATTTCATTTCGAGCCTTGTGTCCATCAGGAATTTCCGGATTGGTTCTACCTTTTCATTGCTGTGGGACAGAGGGCCTGGTACTTGGCTGTAATGTTCATCTGGTGAATGTTTTGACCGACTTCGATGAAGCATTTTCTGTGAAACATAAGCAATTTGATTTGTTGATGTTATGGGACATGGTTGAATGAAATTTGATGTATAGTTGATTTGGTTTGATATAAGTAATTTGGTTGGTAGAAACTTTGAAACGCATAGGGAGCCATGGTGGCTCAATGATTAAGACATTTGCTCATAAACCAGGAGGGGATCATGTGGCTAAGTGGGTAAGACGCTAGCTCGCTAGCCTGGAGGTCGGGTGTTCGATCCCTGCATTGGCCGAGAAAGTTCATCCAGATTTTCAGGCGTGGTTCTCCCTTGTCAGTGATGCAGGACGGAGGGGCTGACAAGGAAAGCTGTCTAGTCGTTCGGATGGGATGAAAAACCAAGGTCCCGTGTACACATTGGCGTGCACATAAAAGATCCCTTGGCAGTTGGAATTCGATATAAGAGTAGGCCGTAGTGCCGCTGTCCGAGCAAAATTTCCCTCATAGCACACTGCATGGCGTATGCCCGTCTACATTAGCCCAGGTTAGGAGCAGAACAGTAGGACGTTAAATTTCATTTCATTTCATAAACCAGGAGGCCCTGTGTTCGATCCAGGGTTGGATTACCGAATGATTAGCATGCACGCGCTGTATCATACGGTCTGTCATTGAGTCAACTGGCAGGGTTTAGATTCCCCGGTTGTACGTGACAAGGAGTAGGGTCGCCTGTCCAACCTCATGGATTTTCTCCAGGTCCTCCGGTTTCCTCCCACTGCTAAAGACCCCTACGCGCAAGCGAATTATTGAAATAAAATTAAACCATATGTTAGTCCCGAAATGACCTAGTTTGTGTCAAGTGGGCTTTAAACCCCATTTCTCTCTCTCCATCCAGGGTGTTGGCCGAGAAAGTTCATGGGTATTATCCAGTGTGGTGTAGGACGGAGGGCCTGCCAAGGGACAATATATAGTCATTCGGGCAGTACAAAAAAAACGCGATCCTCTGTAGGACCAAGGGCCTGGCAAGGGACAGAATAATAAATCTTTCTTATCATATATTGTTTCCGACGTGTTTCCCCCCTTGTCAATGATGCAGGACGGATTGTCTGACAAGAACAGCTGTCTAATCGTTCGAATGGTACGAAAAACTGAGATCTGTGTGCACATGGGTACATAACAGACCCCTTGATAGTCGGAATTCAAAATAAGAGTAGGTTGTAGTGCCGCTGCCCGGGCAAAATGTCCCTCATAGCACACTGTATGGTGTATGCCTGTCTTCATTATCCCAGTTGGTGCAGAACAGTGGGACATTAATAAACCCCATTTCATTTCATAACTCGATTATTCTGATGAAACAGGTATTATATCAATCCATGAGTAAGTTCCAAGATGGGCATTTTCTGCTGATTGGGCAAAGCTATAATTCATTTGATTGCTTAATGCTACATAAAAAGATAAATGTGCAAGTACTTGTAGATAATTATCGGGTGCTTCTTACTTATGCCTGTCTTTATTAGCTCAGTTGGTTTAGAAAAGTAGGACAGTGTTGTAGTGGGGGTTTACAAGACAATGAAAGTTGATGAAGGCCAACAACCCAGTATGTGATAATAGCTTATCCAAAAGGAAAACTTGGATGTTCACCAAATTTGATATTTAAGCAAAAGGGTTATAACTCTGGAACTGAAAGTCACACAATGCTGAATATCGATAGAGTTTGTCCATCAATAGCCACAGTGCTTCACACCAAAATTGAAAAGAATCTGTTATAAACTATAACCTCTATTGAGTTATCAAGGGTTTTGACAAAGGGGGCATAACTCTGGTAAGGAAGGATGCAGGATGGTGAACATCAATAGGTTTCGCCCTATTGTTAAAACACAGAATTCTACAGAATTTGTTATAAACTATCCTCAATCTTGTTCACAATGTTTTTGGTAAAGGGATAATAACTCCGGAATGGAAGGAAGCTGGAATGTTGAATATCAATAGGATTCCTCCACCCATGACTGCACTGCTTCTAACTCAATTTGAAATAATTCTGTTAAAGACTATAACCTGTATTCGGCAAAGAGGGCATAACTAGGGTACGAATGACCACAATGCTTCACACCAAAATTGAAAAGAATCCGTCAAAAACTAGCCTCTGTCGCGATAAACAGGGTGACTACATAATATCTCCAAACTGAAATGAGGGCATATAAAATTACCATGTTAGTCTCATAATGGTTAGCATGTGTGCGCTGTATCATAAGGTCTGTCATTGAGTCAACTGGCGTAGTTTCGATTCGCAGGGGGGATCACGTGGCTAAGTGGGTAAGACGCTGGCTTGCTAGCCTGGAGGTCAGGTGTTCGATCCCTGCATTGGCTGAGAAAGTTCATTCAGATTTTCCGGTGTGGTTTCCCCTTGTCAGTGATGCAGGATGTAGGGCCCGACAAGAACAGCTGCCTTGTCGTTCGGATGGGACGAAAAACCGAGGTCCCGTGTACACATTGGCGTGCATGTAAAAGATCCCTTGGCAGTTGGAATTCGATATAAGAGCAGGCCGTAGCGCCGCTGCCCGGACAAAATGGCGTATGCCCGTCTTCATTAGCCCAGGTTAGGAGCAGAACAGTAGGATGTTAAACCCCATTTCATTTCGATTCGGCAGATGTACATGACCAGGAGTAGTATGGTCACCTGTCCACCCTCGTGTGTTTTCTCCGGGTACTCTGATTTCCTCCAACTGCTAAAGAATTCAACCATGTGTTAGTCTCGAAATGACCTAGTTTGTATTAAAACCCCAATTCTCTCTCTCCTGTACCCCCCCCCCCCCCCCAAAAAAAAATAAAAGACCCCTAGGTGCAAGCGAAATGACCTAGTTTTTGTTAAACCCCATCTCTTTCTCTCCTCCTCACCAACCCCCCTAAAAAAAACTCTTGGTGCAAGCGAATTAATGAAATAAAATTGAACTATTATGTTAGTCCCAAAATGACCTAGTTTGTGTCGAGTGGAGTTAAACCCATCTCTCTATTTTGATATAATTAATGAATCAATGAATATTTTTTAGCAGGAGTCACGGTGGCTCAGAGAGTAAGAGGTTTGCTAGCTAGCCTGGAGGTTCCTCGTTTGATACATGCATTGGTCGAGAAAGTTCATCATGAATTCCGGCATGGCTCCCCCTTGTCAGCGATGCAGGACAGAGGGCCTGGCAAGAGACGATGTATAGTCATTCAGGTGGTACGGAAAACCAAGGTCCTGTGCACGTATTGGCATTGGCATGTACGTAAAAGATCCCTTGGCAGTTGGAACTCGATATAAGAGTAGGTTGTAGTGTTGCTGTCTGGGCAAAATTTTCCCCATAGCACACTGTATGGAGCAGAACAGTAGGACGTTAAACCCCCTTTCATTTCTGAACATTATTGCATGGATTAAGCTCTTGATATCCCAACAAAAGAAAAGTGAGGGTTTAATGTACCCTAGTAACAACAGACAAACTGATTATGACCTGGCCGATGAAAGCAGGAACAGGATTAGTGCTAAATGATAAGAGCAGCTCAATTTTTTGGCATAGGTCACAAGATGTAAACAGGTCTAGTGCTAATCCCTATCTTGGACCTAGCCACAATGCTTACCCAAACCTACAATCTCGCCAACAATCATGGGCTCAAACCTTATTTACATCTCGGCGACCTTGACAAAAATTGAGCTGGCCTTAACTTTTAGACTTAGCCAAGGAACAGGGACGCCCAACAACAAGTTACCTGTCTTGATCAGTGAATAAATTGCAAATCAAGTGATCTTCCCTGTTCACATGGACATACTTTACCATTGTTATACAATTCCTGATTAAAAATTATGGCATGGGGTGGTAGGAACACATTTAACACCTATGGAGGCAAACCACCATTAAATTGTAGTTCGTCTATTTATAGCAATTCTCTCTCTTTTCTCCCCTTTTGCATGCCCATTTTTGTTGATTTTTTGGTCTAGAATGGACGAAGAGCGTTTGAATTAACATTTTCTGCCAGGGTTTGGTAAATATTTAGATTTTGAGGCGGAAGGATAACAGGGTTATCAGGTTGGCTGCAACTAGTTACATGTTTTTAGTATGCTTCTTCAAGTTTGTGTATCTCAAAGTTTTGGTGGTCAACCTCATACAAATTTTAGTGCAAAGACATGACCATTTGTTTCTCTGTCTGTAGTGAAAAGCATTCAGCCCAACGAAAATTTGGGGAAAAGTTGGAGGTGGGCAAAGAGGCCAGAATTAACATTGAAGTCAATGGGAAAATTAATGGTGGTCTGCCTCCCTATGCACTAAGACTAGTTATTCTCTCCCTTATTGACTTCAATAGATAAATGCGTAACATTTCTTGGCCTAAACTTTTTTTTGAACATTGAGATTATCTTAATAACCACAAAGAGGTAGTTGATGTGGTAGTCAAAGGAACCTACAGGCTGTGACGTCTATATTTGATTTCTCTTTTTCATGTCTGTTTACTTCCTGATCATTCTGCCTCCAAAATCATAAATATTCACCAAAACCTAGCAGAAAATGTCAATAAAATACTCTTCTTCAATTCTAGACCAAAATTAACAAAAAACGCCAAGTAAAAAAAGGGGGACAGAAAACTGCTATAGGTCTATTTTTAGGAGAGTATATATGGAAGCAATAACTAGTGTTTGTCGCCACAATATGCCAATATTATATCATACTAGGACACCCATCCCCTATATCAGTAAGCTGGTTTTACCAGTAATCTCAGAAAAGAACTTAAAGGAGCTAAATCGCTAATATTTGGGACCTACAAATTGACACAAATGGGTCACAACGTATATAATAATGTAATATGAATGTAAATAAACGGATTTACATTCATTCGTTTCCGTTTTACTCTAATTTCAAAGCAGTTATGTTCGGCGAAATACGCCAGAAGTCTCAATCGAATGGTAATCTCTAGCGACTGGTTATTCCAGTCTATACCGGTAGTATTTATTGCGCATGCTCTCCAGATAAGAATAATGGGGTAACCGTTTGACATGACTTGTGCAATATGTCTAACCTCGTTCTTCGGGTCGCTTGTTACAAATGGCACTGAAACGCATTATGGTACACGATACGTGTACCAATGGTAAAATGTTTATTTTGTCTTAAATATTGGATATCAGAAGCCCATCTTTTCCCGGTAAGATCACAACATCAATGTTGATTAAAACCAACAAATAATTCATGTTTTTAAGGTCGAAGGTTTTGGATGATACTGAGTTAGAGACTTAGCTACTTTAACTTGACAAAAAATGTATTCACATAAATTAGCTTTATTAAAAATATAAGAATAAATATGGTTTCTGGTAGTGTTGGTTACAATATCAGGATGGGAGAATTTCTTGAACTAAAGCTGGAAGATGGTTACCATCAGATGTAAGCAAAGAATACACACCACAGTATACACTCATATAGTCTCTGAAAAAAAAATTAAGTATATAATTATCATCAAAAACACACAGGTCTTTGTTACAGCAGACAAAGATTATCTTTTTATTTAATTTAGCAAGCAGAACTTTAAAAAAATCATTCACTCCAAAAAATACATATATTTTTTAATGTGTCAGTCTTGAATTTTTTAATATCCTTGAATTGAATTCATAGACTACAATGTATGTACACACCAGAGGTGGGTACTTGAGTCCTGTGACATTGGACTTAAGGCCCGCAGCTAGCCCAAAAATGTTGGGAGGAGGGGTGGGGGTGGGGACATCGATGTAGGATCACCTAAACTTGCCAGTCCCGGGTTTCACCTGAGGAGAGGAACTATGAAAATGACGGATATTTTCAATTTTGAGGCTGAATTGGCGAATTATCATATTTTGATATGAACATTATAAAAAATATGAAGGAAGGAATGTGAGAGAGAGAGAGAGAAATGGAGTTTAACGTCCACTCGACACAAACTAGGTCATTTCGGGACTAACATATGGTTTAATTTTATTTCAATAATTTGCTTGCGCGTAGGGGTCTTTAGCAGTGGGAGGAAACCGGAGGACCCGGAGAAAACCCACGAGGTTGGACAGGCGACCCTACTCCTTGCCACGTACAACTGGGGATTCGAAACCACGCCAGTCGGCTCAACGACAGGCTTTATGATATAGCGCGCGCACGCTAACCATTCAGCCATCCAACCCCCCCAGGAAGGAATATGACTTTAGCTATACCTCTATAGGGTCCACAAGCTAAAAACACGATTTTTTTAAAGATCAGGGGCCATAATTCAGGAAGTTACGGTCCGATATGCGCGAATATCGACAGGAATCAAGATCTTTGGGTTATAAACTTACATTTCAAGTTTCAACAAAATCGGATAAAAATTGTGACCTCTATAGGGTCCACAACCGTGATATACCACATTGTTACGCTATTTGAGAACGAAGGCCGTCCATTTTATCTGTCAGATTTGGGCCGAATTAATGAAATTTGAACTCAGCTGTCCTTAGGGTGTAATGGTGATATAATAATACGATTTTTTAAATCGGATAAAAATTATGACCTCTATAGGGTCCACAAGCTAAAAACACGATTTTTTTAACAATCAGGGGCCATAATTCGGGAAGTTACGGTCCGATATGCACGAATATCGACAGGAACCAAGATCTTTGGGTTATAAACTTACATTTCAAGTTTCAACAAAATCGGATAAAAACTGTGACCTCTATAGGGTCCACAACCATGATATACCATATTTTTACGCTATTTGAGAACGAAGGGCGTCCATTTTATCTGTCAGTTTTGGGCCGAATTTCACAAAACTCAGCTGTCCTTAGGGTGTAACGGTGATATCATAATACGATTTTTTAAATCGGATAAAAATTATGACCTCTATAGGGTCCACAAGCTAAAAACGTGATTTATCGTACAATCAGGGGCCATATTTCAAGAAGTTACAGTCCGATATGCGCGAATATCGAAAGGAACCAAGATCTTTGGGTTATAAACTTACATTTCAAGTTTCAACAAAATCGGTTCAAAATTGTGACCTCTATAGGGTCCACAACCTTGATATACTATATTTTAACGCTATTTGAGAACGAACGGCGGCTATTTTGTGTGTCAGTTTTGGGCCGATTTTCACGAAATTCGAACTCAGCCGTCCTTAGGGTTTAACGGTGATATAATAATACGTTTTTTTAAATCAGATAAAAATTATCACGTCTATAGGGTCCACAAGCTAAAAACGCGATTTTTATTACAATCAGGGGCCATAATTCAGGAAGTTACATTCCGATATGCACAAATATCGAAAGGAACCAAGATCTATGGGTTATAAGCATACATTTCAAGTTTAAACCAAATCGGATAAAAATTGTGACCTCTACAGTGTTCACAAGCTAAAAACATGATTTTTCGTACAATCAGGGGCCATAATCCATGAAGTTACAGCCCGATACATGCCAATATCGAAAGGAACCAAGATCTTAGGGTGATAAACCTATATTTCAAGTTTCATTGAAATCGGATAAAAATTGTGACCTGTAGACTGTTCACAAACAATTGTGGACGGACAGGGGCGACGACAATATACGTCCACATGAAAATGTGGGCGTATAAAAATAGACAGACTGATAGGAGATTGAAAGGGGCTATTTTCATTTACCTGGAAGAAGTATCCATCTTCTGAAGCCATGGTAAAAGTTCAGTTTGTACAATTCGAAGAATAGCTTTACGTAATTGTAGTAATTGTAACTGAAACAGTGCAGTTTGATACTTTTGTATTTCCTTTTTGGACCTGTAAGTAACTTGATCACGACAGTCCAAGATTTCTGAAATAAAAATAAGTTTCTTGGTAAATAATAAAAAGAAAAATCACATAGAAAAGACACCATTAGAATTAAGGTGTATCATTGCGTCATGTTGGCACTATAGGAATCCCTTGCAAACTACACTATTGTGAAAGATGAATCTCTAATAAGAGAGAGAGAGAGAGGGTGGGGTTTAACATCCCCTTGACACAAACTACAATATTGTGAAAGATGAATCTCTAATAGGAACATGGGTCCAAAAATGATCCAATTTGTTGAATTGATAATTTCATCGATCTATGACGCTCGCTTAAATATATCTCATGGTTACGTTGAAAAATATAGCACGAAACATACATTTCACAGACAAACTCTGATTTTGTGAAAACTACTATCTGACAATCGGACTATTACTTCATTGAGCAGTTATGATTGTTTAAAGAATAGTGTTGTCTTGATTTTCATTGCTATTGTTGTTATGATAATAAACAAAGTCTCAATTATCCATTTTTAAATTAAATCATTAAATGGCGGTTGTGTTTCAATACGTTGAAAATCACAACCATCCGATGCTCTGGAGAGTTGATTATGGGCTTGTCATGTGAATTAATGTCTAATTAATAGTTTACCGGTATATAACATTTGAGCCCTAAAGAAAGATCTGCAATAGGTCGATTTAGCTCTTACATGTACATAATACATCTTTAAGACTGGATAACAGGACTGTGTGGTTCCACGCTTGAGTTACAGTCATAATAGGCTGATTTCAGTTCACGAGGAAAGAAAAGAAAGTAAACAGCCACTGGGGGGGGGTGGGGGTGGGGGGTTTAAACCCATTTGGCATCACAAAGTTTTCAGACAGATGGACAAGAATGACAATATTCTCTCACACACATCAGGATATTTCCCCAGCACAGGTTTATAGAAAACGTTTAGATAATCAATTTTACCTGTGGTGATATTATCAGGAAGCCAGATAGATGGAAGTGAATGTTGATATTTGACTGTAATAGGTTTATAAGATGATCTATCATAGTTTCTAACTGAAGTAAAACAAATAACTAAATTATTAACATTAAATAAACATTATGTAAGATTTAGATAAAGAGCTAGCCATTCTTGCTATAATAGTTCGAAAATAGATAATGTACAATGAATAATTTGAAAATTTCATTCAAATTACTCTAATGCGAGCGAAGATATTAGCCTTTGAAGGTTTGACAAGAAGTATGCAATAATTTCAACCACCGCACTGGTTGTTCGAAGCTATGTCTTGCACCTCCATTTTTAGCTTAAATCAAAACATGGCTGAAATGTTCTAATCTATTTAATATCGGAGAAAGCTGATGCCATCGAGAGTTGATTATGGCCTGGATAAGTTAATTAATAATTTCAAAAACATTTCAGCCTTAAAGAAAGACCTGCAATAGGCAGATTTAGCTCTTGCATAATGCATGTTCAAATCAACATTATGTAAGATTTAGTTAAAGAGCTGACCATTCTACAATGATTCTCTTGTCATTTTCAGGCATTATAGAAAACCATTGTAGAAACGTAGCGCTGATATAAAAATACAGTAATTGTTGATCCACAGAACGCGTGTGTTTATTCAATCTGATTAAAATACAAATCATTATTTCGTTTTGTTTTTTTATACTTTCGATGGCCTACACCACATGAAGATCTGACTGGTTGTAATGATAGGTTGCGTCAGAGGTCATATGAGTGACTTTTGACCCTATGACGTCAGACATTTGATTAACCAATCAGCATTGATGTTTCTAATGGATTACCCGCAGTTCCGTGCAAAACACGTCTAAAGCCCCCTGTAACAGACCGTTTCATTGGCTACCCCCTCACATCATTCAGAACACGTCAATGACAACAACTCTTCCAGATCCTAATGTAGTAAAGACAAGTAAAACGAAATTTTGAACTATAAAAACAAAACGAAATAGGATCTGTGTTTTAATCAGATTTGTGTTTATTTTAATATGTTCAATTACTAAATGCCATTTAAACAGCTATTTTAATTGTACAGATACATGTATTTATGGATAAAAACCTGCAAGGACATTTTTGGTTTCCTCTTCATAGTCGTGATAAGCTGTGAGAATAAATTCTACCATCATTTTAGCATGTAAAACATCAAATGGTGTTGATAGATCTGAAAACACAGCATTATCATGACAAAAATTTGAGATACATGTAGTTCATCAATTTTTCAAAAACATAAAATTACAGAAAATACTAGAGCGGAGCATTAAAATGGAAGAGGGTAGAAGCTCCTATATGGAGAGGAGGGAGAGAGAGTGAGAGAAAAATGGGGTTTAACCTCCACACGACACAAACTAGGTCATTTTGGGACCAACATAAGGTTCAATTTTATTTCAATAATTCCCTTGCGTGTAGAAGTCTTTAGCAGTGGGAAGAAACTGGAGGGCCCCCCACTCCTTGTCACATACAACCATTCGGTCATCCAACCCCCGAATTTATAGAGAGGGCTTTTGCATAAGCTAAGTCTGTTCCCGAATAAAAATGTTTAAACAAGAGAAGAATATACCACCACAGGTTACTTTATATTGAGAGTAATTAAACGGTTTCCATATCCAGTATAAACCACGGTGGCTTGCTAACCTGGGGGTTCCATGTTTGATTCATGCATTGGCAGAGAACGCTCATCAGGATTAACTGGCGTGGTTCCCCCTTTTCAGTGGTGCAGGACAGAGGGTATAGAAACGGGCAACATATAGTCGTTCGGATGGGACAAAAACCAAGGTCCCATGTACACATTAACATGTAAGAGATAATTTGGCAGTTGGAATTTGATTTAAGAGTAGGCCATAGAGCCACTATCCAGGCAAAATTTCCCTCATAGCACACTCTATTAGCCCAGTCGGAGTAGAGAGAGAGAGAGAGAGAGAGAGATATGGGGTTTAAAGGCCACTCAACACAAACTAGATCATTTTGAGACTAACATATGGTTCAATTTTATTTCAATAATTCACTTGCGCGTAGAGGGTCTTTAGCTGTTGGAGGAAACCGGAGGGCCCGGAGAAAACCCACGAGGTTGATGTCTTCACAAGGGCTCGAGAATACCTACGACCTTATGATGCAATGTGCACATGTTAACCATATGGCGAGTATCGGCATTGATTCATTCGGCCGAATCATTCCGTTAGTGTGTCCACCGCTTAACTGATAGTTATGGTGCACCAAAATGTGTAATGGACAGATAGACAGACGAACCAACCCGTTTTAATAGTTCTCCAGAAGGTGGGTTGACTAGTATTTGTATTATAATTACCATTAATATTTTCTAATTGGAGTTGTTGAAGTAATTGTTGTAACTTAGTGTGGGCTGTTAAACATTGTAACTTTCTATACTGAAGACTCAAATCACTACTTTTATCAAACTAAAAAAACAAATTATATTCAGACATGTATTAATAATATCAATAAAAAAGACAAATCAGTGCCGGACAAAATGACAGGCATCAGAGATTTAGTGTTTGACAAAGCCTGAATCTGTACCTGACATTGTCTGTGACAGGTGCCTTATTTCCAGGCTTGGGTAGAAAGAGTAAATGGGTTTAGTGTCCACTCTGAGCAGACTAGATCTTAGGGACTAACATATGGTAAAAAAGTTATTCATTTCATTCAGAGTACAAATAAAAAATTGGGGAAAATACTCATAATATTTTCTATATTTCCCATAAAATAAGGGAAAATACTCACAATATTTTCTAGATTTCCCATAAAATAAGGGAAATTGTCACAATACTTTCTAGATTCCCCATAAAATTGGGGAAAATACTCACAATACTTTCTAGATTCCTCATAAATTTATCACAAAGTAAGGTAAAATACTCACAATACTTTCTAGATTTCCCGTAAAATTGGGGAAAATACTCAAAATACTATCTGAGTGAAATACAATACTTTCTAGATTTCCAATAAATTTATCACAAAGTAAGGAAAAATACTACTACTTTCTAGATTTCACATAAAATTGGAGAAAATACTTTCAATACTTTCTAGATTTCCCATAAAATAAGGGAAAATACTCACAATACTTTCTAAAATTCCCATAAATACGGGAAAATACTCACAATATTTTCTAGATTTCCCATAAAATGAGGGAAATTGTCACAATACTTTCGAGATTTCCCATAAAATAAGGGAAAATACTCCCAATACTTTCTAGATTCCCCATAAAATTGGGGAAAATACTCAAAATACTATCTAGATTTCCCATAAAATGAAGAAAATACTCACAATACTTTCTAGATTTCCCATAAATTTATCACGATCGCTCACACCAACTTTTTTAGTTACAGAGACTTTAGATACTTTTTGTTGTAATTTCCTATTCTGACTGATCAATTTCTTTAGCCGACCTGGTATCTTTAAACTTGACCTGACAAAACAAAAACAAATCTTGTAACGCTATTTATATATTTTTTAAGTGGCATTTAGTAACTGGACAGAGCAATAAACTATAAACACACTTATGGAAAACAGCTACTGATTTATTTAGGCGACGTTTCGGAGAGTATAGATAGAGGGGGAGAGAGAAATGGGGTTTAACGTCCACTCGACACAAACTAGGTCATTTCGGGACTAACATATGGTTTAATTTTATTTACATAATTTGCTTGCGCATAGGGGTCTTTAACAGTGGGAGGAAACCGGAGGACCCGGAGAAAAACCACGAGGTTGGACAGGCGACTCTACTCCTTGCCATGTATAAACCACGCCAGTCAACTCAATGACAGACTTTATGATACAGCGCGCGCACGCTAACCATTCAGCCATCCACCCCCCCGAGAATAGATAGATATTTATATAAACACCCTTGTAAATGGATCCATATAACAGTGAACTTTCAATCTGATTAAAATACAGATCTATATTCCGTTTTTTTTTTTTTATGCTTTCGATGGCCTACACTACATGAAGATCTGACCGGTTGTAGTGGAAGGTTGCGTCAGGGGTCATACGAGCAGCTTTTGACCCAATAGCATCAGACATTGATTAACCAATCAGCGTTGCTGTTTCTAGTGGAATATTCATAGTTCCGTGCATCGCACGCCAAGAGTTCGCAGCAACTGACAGTTTAATAGGCTAATCCCTCGCACCAAGCAGAACGCGGGTTATATAACAACTCTTCCAGATCCTAGTGTAGTAAAGACAAGTAAAACAAAATTTTGAACTATAAAAAACGAAAAGAAATAGGATCTGTGTTTTAATCAGATTGGGTGAACTTTCAATATGCCGGTTGTAAGCAGTTATCGTGTATACATTGGCATGCACATAAAAGATCTCTTGGCAGTTGGAATTCGATATAAGAGCAGGCCATAGTGTCGCTGCCCAGGCAAAATTTCCCTCATAGCAAACTGTATGCCGTATGCCTGTCTTCATTATCACAGTCGGAGCAGAACAGTAGTAAATTAAATATGGTTCAATTTTATTTCAATAATTCACTTGCGCATAGTGGTCTATACCTGTAGGAGGAAACTGGAGGACCTATAGAAAACCCACAAGGTTGGGCAAACCTGGTCAAATGAACCTAAGTAGCTTATCCGGTTTAAAATGATTTAAATTTTTTTACCCATCCCTGTATAAATCAAATATTGGTTTAGATACTGAGATTGCTTCATCTTTATCTTCGATACATAGTTCTTCTAATGGATTAACAAGTTTACTTGGGTCAATCAAAGAATCAGGAGATTTCACATCTTCATTAGCACTGATTGAATCAACAGTTACATTATCACATTTAATTGTAGAACTCAATTGATCTACTGTTTTATCACTACATGTTGCTTGATTTTCACTCCTCGACAAAGATACCTCCGAACTTGAGATCTTTGTACTAGTTTTTATTGGAGCAGAAGGCTCATTTGCAGACGAGTTAGTTTTGATCTCATTTATCATACAATTTCTTGCGGATGAGTTAGTTTTGATATTAATGTTTTGAGCGTTTTTTGTATCAAGATATTTTGATTTGATCACAGGCTTTGATGAGACTAAAGACGACTTGTTGATTCTTCTTCCAGGAACTTTCACGTTTGGGTCCGTTTTAAATGGTGCCGACATATGAACAGGCATTTGTTTGTGTCTTGTGCTGGTAGTACTACTTGGTCTGGATGATTTTAAAGTAGATTTAGTCGACTTCGTACTATCTGTTAATCTTACTGGATTTAGTGAATCTTTATTTACTTTTGTAGACTTAATTGGAGCAGAATGTTTTTGACTAGGTACATTTCTGACAGTTCTTGCACTACTATGCTGCACATTAGGCTTATTATTCAAAACATTTTTTGATTTAATATTGCTATCTTTGCCCGTTTTGTATACCACTTCATTATTTGGGTTAGTTTCGACATGGCCTATTTGTTTTTCATTAACAATAATGTCAACTTGTTGCTTGGTGTTATCAATATGGGAATCTGCTTCAACTACACTTGAAGTTAATTTGGCATTATTACTTTCATCAACATCAACCTTGTCTTCTAATTCAATCGATGTTTCTTCAGATTTTCTAGCTTTTTCAATAATCTGAAAATTACAGAATAGATATATTGGATTACTTCGGAATAGTGGGGCATAAAATTATTTTATCAAAGAAATGAAATGAAATGGGGTTTAACGTCCTACGCCGACTGGCTAATGAAGACGAGCATACACCAAACAGACTGCTGTGAGGGAAATTTTGCCCAGACAGCGGCACTACGGCCTACTCTTATATTGAATTCCAACGCCAATGTATACACAGGACCTCGGTTTTACATTCCATCCGAATGACTAGACATCTTTGCTTGTCAGGCCCTCCTTCCTGCACGACTGACAAGGTGAAGCCACATCGGAAATCACTATGAACTTTCTCGACCAATGCAGGGATCGAACACGCGATCTCCAGGGTAGCGATCCAGCGTCTTACCCAATTAGCCACCATGGCTCCCTATTTTATTAAAGAATATGACATTACGAGCAATTATTTTGTAAAACTATTTTGTTACGGTGTTATCAAATTAGAAAGGGCATTTGTCAAAAGGCTATTTGTTGTGCTGGGGAAAATTTTATCCAGCCAGATGTAAATCTTCAAATTCCAATTGTTTATGGTTCTTAGATATGCACAGGTCATATTGTGAACAGAAAATATTTTTCAATTAAAGTATGGCATTTATTATAAAACATAAAAAACAATATCAAGGATTAAAGTGATTAAGTGATAAGCCCCCCCCCCACCCCCCCAAATAAAGTATGGAGGGAATCCTTTCCTATTCTGCCAGAATATTGAAAATATCCTCTAGTGTCTTAGCTTACAACACTATTCACCTGTGTCTAACAATGGCAGCAATTTTAGATTTGAAAAAGAATCGGATTCCCTGATCAGAGTTTGTAGATATATTACTTTCATACAATCTGATTAATATAGTCTACAATTCTCTATGGAATAAGATAATTAGAGAATTGAACATTAAGAAGACACAGGACAAAAAAATGTTTCGGAACCTTTTTTTGAACTATTCTGGCTTTTTCCGCACGTTTAAGTAGATTGTTGACTAAATTCATTCCATGTTTTTCTTCACAAGTGATTTCTTCTACATGTACGTTCTTCTTGTCTTCAATATCATCGATTTTATCATCTTCATCACATGCTGTCTTCGGCCTTCAATGAGTAAAATATAAAAGCTTGTTTAGATACATGATTATAACATGAAAACAAAAATTTCAAGGCATAGAGAGAGAGAGAAATGAGGTTTAACGTCCACTTGACACAAACTAGGTCATTTCGGGATTGACATATGGCTTGATTTTATTTCAATGATTCACTTGCGCGTAGGGGTCTTTAGCAGTGGGAGGAAACCAGAGGACCTGGAGAAAACCCAAGAGGTTAGACAGGCGACCCTACTCCTTGTCATGTACAACCAGGTATTCGAAAACAAGCCAGTTGACAAAAGGACAAGCTTTATGATACAGCGCGCAAGTGCTAACCATTCGGCCATCCAACCCCCTATTTTCAAGGCATAGCCCACTCCTTGTATCGTAGATCTATAATCTGTATTTTAATCAGATTGCTGTATTTCACCATTTCAAGTTTGTTAAACTACTAGACACGTACTGGCTATTATTAAACAAACTTTTGGATTTTTCTGCCTTTTTTTTAGTGAAATCTACTAATCATTTTGTTATATTACTTCTTCATTTCAATATAATACTGTAACTCACCACTGTTTAAATAATATTTCCTTATCTTTACAGAGTCTTTCTAAATGTCTATTCTTTCTGTCAATGATGTCATCTAGGATGAGTAAAAACTCCTCCAATTTAACACCAAAGCTTGATCTGGCATCCATAACTTTCCTTCTTCTTCAACACTGAAATAGTATAAAATCCATCTGATTTATTTCGGTTGCAAAGCTTTTTGTCGCTCAACTTTGATGCAAAGTTAATAATAAGTTAATAATAATAAGACTCCTATAGCCTATAATATATAATGATAAGCCTTCAGCATGGCTTCACTATAGACACTATGAATTAAAGGGACAATAACACTCTTGCTGGCTTGAAAGCTCCAGAAAATAAATAATATCTCTATCTAAGTACTAGATGTTTAAGTGTCCTACCTGTTGTGTAAATTATCCATTACATCCTATTTTACTTGTCCAGAGGGTTTGAAAATATTTTTAAATCGAAGTTTCATTTGAAAAGGTTTACGTTAGACGTTTCAAACCATTATGTTGAATTTTTCAAATTTTTTAAATAAGGTGTGTTAAGATGAAATTTATATCATCAATTAATTGGAATATTGTAAAATAGTACAATTTGTTGACCAGAATAAAGATTGGGACATATTATTCAGTTACAACAAGAGTGGTATTGAACCTTTAAAGGAGCTAAGTCTCTAACTCAATATCATCCAAAATCTTCAACATTTAAAACAAAAATTATTTGTCAATTTAAAACAACATTGATGCTGTGATCTTACCAGAAAAGGGTGGGCTTCTGATATTCAATATTTTAAGACAAAATAAATATTTGACCATTGGTACACGAATCGTGTACCATAATGCGTTTCAGCCCCAGTTCTAGCAAGAGACTAGAGGAACGAGGCTAGACATATTGCACCAAACCAAACGGCTTATGTAGACTGGAATAACCAGACGCTAGGAATTTGCACTCGATTGAGACTGCTGGCTTATTTCACGGAACATAACTGATTTGAAATTAGAGTAAAAACGGAAACGATTGAATGTAAATCAATTTATATACATACATATTACGGTATTATATGAGTTGCGACCCACTTGTGTCAATTTCTAGGTCCCAAATATTAGCGATTTAGCTCCTTTAAATGAAGTCAGCTGCCAAAGGTCTTAGTTCTATTGTAAAATGTACCACTGAAAAACCTATATATATACTCATAACAGAGGCGGTATTATTATAGGAGCTTTTAATAATTATCAGGTGTAAATAATTTAATAAAATCAATCAACCTGTCCATATAATAATAATAATATAATATTTATTGTATTGGACGTTAAATCTGTAATAAACAACAACAACAGATAAAGGACTCCGCAGCCCGCCCCAGTTACACCTTTCTAAAGAGATGAAAGATACCTATAAAAAGAAATACTGTAAATTGTCATTGATTTCATTTCATGTCATTTCATGTAGATCAAACAAACCATCCAAAAGTCTGCCAGACAGAGTTGTCTTCCCGTACAGCAATCAAAGGAATGAAAGGTCAAGGACAGCGAAGATTCATAGTCTGATATGTTCCTTCAGATAAATATATGCCTCCGCGATCAAAATGTAATCCTGTTCTTTTTGTTCTTTTTCTGCTTTGTAAGTGTAAAACAGATAATCTGTATTTGATTTTAAGTGCCAAAAATATCATATCGTCAGAGAGATTGTACTGGAACTTCCAGATAAGGTACGTCCTTCCAACAAATTGAATTTTATCTACATTTATTTATGGCGAATCTTCCTGTTCGAGAATTTACAATAAGTTACGTTATCAATTTTACGTCTTGACAATCGAACTCGGCAGAAATGGGTTAACACGGGTCTTGTGTTTTGAAACTAATTAAAAATCTAAGATGACAGAAGAGAAAGACAGCTCGAAAATTTCAGAAAATAAACGAAAAGATGAAAGAAAGAAGGAATCTACGAAGGAATCGGCGCCATCTAAAGTAGTTTTAAGGCGACTACCACCATCCTTGACACCTGAAACATTCATAGAGCAAGTATCACCACTACCCACATATGATTTTTTCTACTTTGTTAAAGCTGACCGCAGCCTTGGTGCCAATGCATTTTCAAGAGCCTACATCAACTTCGTCAATTCCGAAGATGTCTACCTGTTTAGGGATAAATTTGATGGATATGTTTTTCTGGACAGCAAAGGAGAAGAATATCCTGCAATTGTAGAATTTTCTCCTTTCCAAAAAGTACCAAAGAAGAAAGTGAAAAAGGTAGATAGCAGGAAGGGCACCTTAGAACAAGATTCAGATTATGTGAATTTCTTAGAGTCGTTAAATAACCCTGACGTAGAATCCGCACCCACAATAGACACCCTAATTGAAGAGATAGAAGACAAAGAAAGAGAATTGAAAGCCAATAATGGGGTATTAAAAGTTACTACACCGTTGATAGAATATCTAAAGCGACGAAGAGAGGAAAGAAAAATGGCAATTCAGAAAAAGATTGAAGAAAGAAAGAGAAGAGAAATTGAACGTAGGAAGCAGAAGGATGAAGAACGACGCAGAAGACGTGAAAAAGAGAGAGAAAGGGAGAAACGAGACAGGGAAAGAGAAGAAAAAGACAAAGATAGGGATAAAAATAAAGATACAAAAACAGATGAACAGTTATCAGTCAAAGTGCTCAAGAATCCTGAAAGAGAAAAAGAGAAAAGTAAAGATGATGATAAAGACAGGGATAAAAGAGATGACAAGAAAGACGATAAAAACAGCGGAAGAGAAAGGTTGCGATTCTCTAAAGAAAATCGTGAGAAAGAGAGGGCTAGAAATGATAAATCAAGCAGTGCTTACAGCGATAAATATAAAAGTATGCGTGAGAGTTATGGGGGACGAGGTGGAGCTAAAGGAGATGATCAGGGGAGCCGAGGAAAGCGTAGTGATAGACCTAAAGATGATAAATATAGTGATCAGGATATTGACAATGAAAAAGATAGTGATTATGATAAGGATCGGGATAGGGCTAAAGGTAGTGATCGTGATTATGGGAAAGGAAAGGAACGAGTTTATGACAAAGAAAGAGATCGTGCAAAGGACAATTCTAAAGGACGTGATTATGGAAAAGATAAAGAACATAACAGAGGAAAAGACAGAGACTATGGAAGAGACAGGGACAGGAGCTATGGAAAGGATAAGAGTTATGGAAAGGATAGAGATAGGGATTATGGAAAAGACAGGGAAAGGGATTATAGAAAAGATAGGGATTATGGGAAAGACAGGGACAGGGATAAAGGCTATGGAAGGGATAGGGATTATGGAAAGGACAGAAATAGGGATACAGTTTATGGAAAGGATAGGGATAATGGTAGAAATTATAGTAAGGATAAAAGTAAGGATAAATTTAAAGAAGGAGAGGGAGATAAAATTAAGAATAGCTCTAGAGAAAAAGGGAAGTCAGATACCAACCTTTCAGACAAAGATACTGTTGGATTAACTAACAAGAATGATGATAATAAAGTTGTTGGTGAAACAACCCCAGCTGGTGAAACAACTCCAACTAGTGAAACAGTCCCTGCTAGTGAAACACCACCAACTAGTGACACCAGTAAAAATACTGAAGCTACTGGTGGAAAAGAAGAGGTGACCGATTCTGAGGATAAAAGAAGAAAGAGAAAGGACAGACCAGAGAGACAGATATATGTACCAAGAAGAGCTTTAGAAAAACAGAGACAAGAGGCAAAAACAAAGCCAGACAACAAGGAGGAAGATGAAACTGATGACAGTACCAAATGTCAGAATAGTTCAGACACGAAAGTCAGCAGTGAAGTTCAAGATAATGTTAAAAGCGATTGTGAGGAAAATATCAAGGAATAAATTATTAATTTATGAACTTATAGTGATTGTTTTGACTTATTAATTTTTCTTCTTTGTCACAGAAGTTTTTGTTTTATTTAAAATTGGTGCATAACTATTAAAATTGTTCAACAGTTCATCTATTTATGGATTTCAAATTACTATCTGTTATTATCAAAATGACCTTGGTAAAAAAAGGATTTATTGCCAATGAGAGACATTCAAGCGCCCATTACATTTAGTTCCATCTATAAATTAAGATCTTGAAAATGACAGAAGAAAATTGGTACTTGTTAACAATACACTGTCACTTGCAAACATTTTGTAGTATAAAATAATTGGTTATCATGTATATTATTTTTCACTGGAGACAATATTAGCATAAGAACAAGGGACATAATACAGATGATGTGTGTACTGAACAGTGCCACGCCCATATTGGCGCAAGGCAAGGTCATCTATTTCAGAAGGCCACCTCTGCAGATTTTCCCAAGGTCACAAGATGTATACAAGGGAGGGGAATTCCCGGGCATCACGTAGCCACTGCTGTTGCCTCATCGTCGTTGTCATACAAATGACCTTGGTTGTCATAATCGATGACATGACGTCATCGCCGTTGCCATGGTGACCTCGCCTCATTTACCAAGGATAATAGGACTGCAGGGTGATGTATCGTTCGGCTTTATCATAAACCATTAATATACTATTCAAAAAAAGTAGGGGATATTTGATTTTGGGGGCATAATACTAAAATATGCAAATGACTACGAAAAAAGTCACTATAGAACCTAACAGAAGAAACATTTCCAGTTACATGTGACGCCCAAACGCACCAATAGCTACCGCATGGAATGCAGGTGATGCTTGGGATCATCATGGGGGTCCAACCCAAGATTTGCACGACTCTGACTTTGAATGTTACAGTCATTGTGGCATTGAATTCCAGGGTGGAAACATCAGTTTAATTGTTTTAGTGACCAGAAAACAAATTTTGATATGCGTCGGCTTACCCAAAATGAAAGGTTACGTGCCCTTGGCATGCTACAGATCGGCACAACACAGGCGGTTGTGGCGCGGACGATGAATGTTTCTCAGTCTGTCATAAGCAGGCTATGGTCCAGATACCGTGATACACAATCTGTACAGGACAGACCACGCTCAGGTCGACCAAGGGCGACAACTCAAGCCCAGGATCGATTTATCCGTACCTTGGCCCTGAGAAATCGTGTCATCACAGCAAATCAGATCAGCGCTCGTCTTCAAACAGACACTCATGGTGTGAGAGTGAGTGGCCAGACGATTCGGAATCGACTGCATAGGGGTCACCTTCGCGCCCGACGTCCTCACGTGATCCCTTGTTTGAGAGATCATCACATTCAGGCAAGACGTCGTTGGTGTAGGGATCGTCAACACTGGGATAATCGACGCTGGAGCAATGTGATGTTTTCAGATGAGTCAAGGTTCACTGTTGATTTTTTGGACAAACGTAGGAGGGTGTGGCGTCGTCGAAACGAGCGCTTCCAAGACGTTAACGTCATCAGACATGATCGATTTGGGGGTGGTTCTGTTATGGTGTGGGGAGGCATCACTGTTGCTGGAAGAACGGCTTTACATGTTGTTGCAGGGCGTGTTACAGGCCAGTACTACCGGGACAACATCTTGGCAGTCCATGTTGTGCCGTTCGCACAACGTCATGGCCGCCGTTTCATCTTCCAGGATGACAACGCAAGATGTCACAGGGCCAGGATCGTTACAGGTTACCTCCAACAACAGAACATCACCACATTACCTTGGCCAGCACTGAGTCCCGACCTCTCCCCCATCGAGCATGTCTGGGACATGCTTGGACAGAGGTTACGTCAACGTCAACAACGTCCTGCCAATGTCCAAGAACTTGCTGCTGCGTTGCAACAGGAATAGGACAATCTGGACCAAAATGACCCTAGACGTCTCATTAGGAATATGCCACGTCGGATCAATGCTTGTTTGGCAAACAGAGGAGGATTTACCTGTTACTGACTTGGTTGTGATGCTGTGGTAACTTTGCTGTTTGACCCCGGGTATCATTATACGTCCACATTCATAATGTGAACGTATTATGCCGTCGCCCCTGTCTGTGTGTGTGTGTGTGTGTATGTGTGTATGTGTGTGTGTGTGTGTGTGTGTGTGTGTGTGTGTGTGTCTGTGGTTCGCCTACAGGGCGCAATTCTTCATGGATTTTCTTCAAACTTGGTATACTTATTCCTTATACCCCAAGGAAGATCCCTATTGTTTTTGGTGCATGCCCGACCCCCCGGGGCAGAGCCACGCCCATTTCTAGTATTTGTTTGTTTGTCGTCTACAGGCCACATTTCTTAACTAATAATCTTGAAACTTTGCATACACATTCTTTGTACCCTAAGGAACATCCCTATCGTTTGGGGTGCATGCCCAACCCCCAGGGGCAGAGCCACGCCCATTTTCTTTTCGTGTGTCTTTGTGTCGCCTACAGGGCGCAATTCTTACTGGATTTTCTTCAAACTTGGTATACTTATTCCTTATACCCCAAGGAAGATCCCTATTGTTTTTGGTGCATGCCCGACCCCCAGGGGCAGAGCCACGCCCATTTCTAGTATTTGTTTGTTTGTCGTCTACAGGCCACATTTCTTAACTTATAATCTTGCATACACATTCTTTGTACCCTAAGGAACATCCCTATCGTTTGGGGTACATGCCCAACCCCCAGGGGCAGAGCCACGCCCATTTCCCATTTTCTTTTCGTGTGTCTTTGTGTCGCCTACAGGGCGCAATTCTTACTGGATTTTCTTCAAACTTGGTATACTTATTCCTTATACCCCAAGGAAGATCCCTATTGTTTTTGGTGCATGCCCGACCCCCAGGGGCAGAGCCACGCCCATTTCTAGTTCTATCTACCATGCTAACATACAAATTGGATTTGCGTGCGTAAGACAAACAATACCAAGAATATGCCCCCTTTTCACCGTTGATGCAAGGACCCCAGTGACATTGTTAGCTAGGGGCCCCATACAAGCTTAAACTGGCCCTATGTATTACCATAGGCATATCATTGATTCTAAAAGAATTATAAGCTTAGTTCGACGAACGGTATCATAAGTTAAATATAATAGCACCATCTTCACAAAATTTAGGATGAGCAGTTGTATTATTAAATCCTTGCGGTATTAAATGTGCTTACTTCCCTTTAATCGTTTTTATACGTCCACATTCATAATATGGACGTATTACGTCGTCACTCCGTCTGTGTGTGTGTGTGTGTGGGGGGGGGGGGGGGCGCCTACAGGGCCCAATTCTTTATGGATTGTCTTGAAACTTTGCATAGTTATTCCTTATACCAATTTTTGTGTGTATTGTATACTGGCCGACATTCTGAATGGATCATCTTCAAACTTGGCATATGTATTCCTTATGGCACAAGGGCGGCAACTTTTGATTTTGGTGCATGCCCCGATCCCAGGGGCACAGCCACGTCCATTTTTGTGTTTAGCTTCAATTCTGAATTGATTATCTTGGAACTTAGTACACTTATTCCTTATGCCCAAAGGACGGCAACTATTGATTTTCGTACATGGTCAGTCCCCCCAAGGGCGGTGCTACACCCACTTTTTGTTAATATTTTGTCTGTAAATAATCTACAGGTTGCAATTATTAACATATTTGGATCCAATTCAGTATGATCCATCATAGGGTTGTAGGCCTACCTATATTGGTCCATGTCCAACCCCCAGGGACTTGGTATATTTATTCCTTATACCGTAAGAATAGCAACTATTTATTTTGGTGCATGTCCCGACCCCCAGGGGCGGTGTCACACCTACTTTATTTTAAAAAGTACCATATGAATCAAAGCAAGAATGTGGACGTATATTGCAGCGACAGCGATGCTCTCGTTTTACCCTTATAATGGTCAGTCTGTGCCTTACTTAGTCTAACGATCATTTGGAATAAATCGATGAATGTGAACTTCATTTCATTTTGTCATTTGTTTCTTCGTTAGTTTCATTAGGTGACTTTAATAACACTTAAAAATCAAATATCCCCTACTTTTTTTGAATAGTATATATGACATTCAGAAAAAAAAGAAGCAAGGGATGAAAGGAGGAAATTTCCGGGAAACCCCATGACACCGCTTTGGCTTCATATTGTTGTGCAAATGACCTTGGTTGTCATAGGACAGCAGGGTGATGTATCGTTCGGCTTTATCATAAATCATTAATATATGACATCCAGAAAAAAAGAAGCAAGGGATGAAAGGAGGAATTTTCCGGGAAACCCCATGACACCGATATGTAATGGCATCGTATTGTTGTTCAAATGACCTTGGTTGTCATTGCGATGACGGGCTTCGTCACTGTTTCCATAGTGACAACCTCACTTCGTTTACCAAGGATATTGCGATGGTGAATGTTGTAGAGACTGCTATTAACAAACTTTAATTTAAAGATTTCATAGAATACTGTATAAAATTTTCTGTAATGGTGGTACCGGGATATCGATGTTAAAAGTGGCGGGAAAATGGTATATTAATTTGTACAGAAACAATAAAGATTATTGTAATAATTAAAGTTCGTTTTGCCTGTTAAAATGACCAACTCATGTATGTCTTGATACTGATGTATTGATGAATACGTGTAGGCTACTACAAAACGTTTAACTATAGAATCGATGGAATTTCCGACATGAAAGGTGAAATCTCTGATACTTTATCTAACAGTTCACTAAATCATCAAACAAAGAAAAGAGGTAAGACGCTGGTTCGCTAGCATGGAGATCGCGTGTTCGATCCCTGCATTGGCGAGAAAGTTCATCGGAATTTTTTGGCATGAATATGCCATTACAATAGAAACGCTTCTTTGGTATTAACACTTTGTCGGAAATGAAATGAAATGGGGTTTAACGTCCTACTGTTCTGCTCCTATACTTGGCTAATGAAGACGGGCATACACCATAGTGTGCTATGAGGGAAATTTTGCCCGGGTAGCGGCACTATCGCCTACTCTTATATCGAATTCCAACTGCCAAGGGATCTTTTACGTGCATTCCAATGTATACACGGGACCTCGGTTTTTCGTCTCATCCGAAGGACTAGACAGCTGTCCTTGCCAGGCCCTCCGTCCTG